TAACCAACCAATCAGAGCAAACGCGAATGTATCGTGTAATAGCAGTAGTAATAGTGAAAATGTAAAGCATTTTGCGCTAGACAGTTAGTTCCCCTCTCCTATATCTCTCTTTCTCACACACACACTCTCTCTTTCGCTCGCTTTCTCTCTCTACGACTATACATGGTGTTCTTACATTTCAGATCCACCATTTATATCAGAATTTGACATGATAGACGTGCAGCTGAAAGAAGGCGTTAATGCGACATTACAATGCGACGCTAAAGGAACGCCTGAGCCTACACTGACGTGGACTTACAAGTTTGTATTCTTCTATTATTTATTTGTTGTAAATATTTAAAAAATATCTATTAAAATGTGATGGTAACTATCAAAAGTACTCAGTAATAGGCTAATGAAGTAATGACTGAATACATGAACACAAAATCCTAGTGTGGGGTAACGTTTCTATAACGGTAATAAAAACAAAATTTTTGGTATTTTTTGCTATATTAAACAAAACTCTTTTCTGCAGTAACACAAACTGGTATAAACGAAACTCTCAGCTGTCTAGTACAAATATAACGAGACAATCGGAAGGTATATTTCGATGTGATGCAGTGAATAAAGCGGGAGCGACGCATATTGTGTACAGAGTGACCATAGTCGCCCAGTCTCAGATCAAAGATATTGTTGCGTTCAGAAACGGGGAAGGTGTCACGGTTGAAGGAGGCGTCGAAGTTGTGGTAAGTTTACTAATTTTGGTCTCGCGATGTAGGTACTTCTTGATCTTGTGTATGTCGCCGTAATAATGTACCACCCAGTTTAAGCAGGAGAAGGAACGGATGGTTTTTAGACAGTAAGAGTCTGAACTCCCTCTTAGGAATTTGATGATTTCCCCCGCCAAAATAAGACAACTAGCCGGGTTACAGGTCAAGTGCTAAGGTACCGCAACCTCGTCTTGGAACAGCAGAGGGATCGGGACCTAGGGCGGGGGAATTAATTTGATGATTATCCCTCCACCAATAAAAGCCAACACGCTTTATTAGCGATACAACTAACTGTTTAAATGATTAGCAACTTGATTGAATGAATTAATTTCTCATTCAGGCCGTATGTTGATGGCCGAGTTCTTAATGGCAGGTAAGATTAGAATTGCGATCCACACAGAAATGAAATTACCATCAAAATCAAATAGAACCCAGCATTTTACTAGGCGTAATATCATTTAATAAATAGTCTAAATTATTATTAACAAATACTGCGGTTGCGAATACAATTACCGCGGTACCGACCCCGAGTATGAAAAGGAGGTTCTTGGTCTTAGACTCGTCTTTGATATAATGGAAGATAAGAGTCATGTGTCATGTGCGGCCGGAATATAAGTATTAAAATTCTGACTTTCTTCTAGCAAGGATCGCGTTTACGTATAGCGTGCAAAGCAACAGGGAATCCGATTCCGGATATACAATGGATAAAACAAGGACGCGTTGTCAGTGAGAATTCATACGACATCGACTATGCAGACTTGATACTTAACGACGTTCAAGTGGGACAAAGCGGTCTCTATATCTGCATAGCCAGTAACGAAGGAGGCAGTCACGAGAAGAAGGTCAACATTGACGTTCTTGGTAAGTCTTTCCTGTTGAACAATTATTGAAACGCGGTTCTGTAATGTTTTGTCGCTGTTCCAAATTTAAAATTCTACTTATGTTGTTAGGCTTCTTTTTTTGAAGTGCATGAGGACTTACCTTACTCCATGCTGTTTATTAATAAAATTTTTTTTCTCAACTAAGGGATATAGTTAATACTGTTGGAAACGAGCCTCTTCATTATTCGCCAACTTCACTACACAACAGACTATAGACTAATATTGAAACAGTAACAGTCAACAAATATTTCTTTTGTAGAACCACCTAAAATATTCCAAGAGCTATTCCAAAATTCAAACACAACGTCGAATGAAATTCAGTTAGAAGTGATATCAGGCCAGTCGTTCTACCTGCATTGCCATCCTTATGGGAACCCACAACCAGAAATCTATTGGTTCAAAGACGATTTACCGTTAAAGCTCTTTGATGATACAATGGTGTCTACGGACTTCGGAGAAGTAATTGTTACAAAGAAAGCGGTTATGGAACATTCGGGAAATTACACTTGTGTCGCTAGAAATAAGGTTGGAAATAAAAGCGTCGTTTATTTGGTCGATGTGTTGGGTAAGTTTTTTTTTAAAGGATTACTATTCGAGTAGACCATTACATCCTTCTATATCACCATTATTGAGACCAATCTTTACCTGGTCACATACCAATACTCTGTGTATATCGTTCGCCGGAACGGTGACCACATCTTCGTTCCACTGACAAATGTGACATTCGTTTTCTTTGAAATAAAGAAAGTTTGGGTCGACAAAGAAAGAAAGAAAACACATTTATTTAGTACCGGACATGTCGCACAAAGATGTGTACATCTGTGGATGGCAAGCAAGGGTGACTCGCCGCCCCACCAGAACCATACGTTCGGGTACGGTGCGTAGCGTTCCGCCTGTGTACCTCAAAGAGCCAATCGACTAGGGAGTGGGGTCCTACAGAGCCCATGCTCAGCCGGGGTTGCGGGCAAGCGCAATTAGGTACCGCGGCCTTGAGCAGGAAAAAGAACGAGGGGTGATAATCAATAAGAATCTGACACTCCCTCTCGAGAGAAGTCTCTCCTGGGCAACAGAAGTCATTTGACGATTATCCCCTCACAAAAAAACAGCACCCAGACTAACTAGTAGTAGTATATTCGGCGGAACAAAATAACATTTTTAAACACTTTATTTTGAATTTCAGTCCCTCCACCTTCGCCCAAAGAATCTACCAGAAACATGACTATTGGTTTTGGAAAGCCATTGGTGTTAACCTGTCCAGCTGTGGGCAGTCCTTTGCCCAGCGTTATGTGGGTAAAGCATCCATATTCGGAAATAAATGGAGACAATCGAGTGCACCTTACTGATAACAATTTTACGTTGGTGAGTTAGAAGCTGGAATCAATATAATATATGCAAGGAAACAGAACTTTAAAGTTCAAATTATATTATTGAATCTATTTGGTCCTCAGCGGTGTATATTTCCGTTATCCTTTTAAAAGGACAAGTAAGTGAAAGATGTAGGGAAAATTTTCAAATATGTGCATGTGATATTATTACAGAAGTGACTCAATTTTTTATGGATTATGTCGGCAAACAAGCAATTGTATTACCTGATGGTAAGCTAACACCGCCGGACGTCTACAAAGTTCAACATCAGAGGCGTAGGGAACTTTTAGGAATTAGAGATTTAAAGATTAGGAAATTTTGTGTTGGGCTGTGATATCAAACCGCCCTATACGCGCTGAACTATGGCCCTTCCACATGAAAAAGTTGACCTTATATCAAAGGTTATTAAAGGTTATAAATTTTTCAGGTAATAAATAAAACAGAAGTGACAGACAGTGGAAAGTACTCCTGCATCATGACGAACAAAGTTGGTACTACAGAGGTTATATTCGACGTTGCTATACACAAGCCACCGTCCATTGCTGCGAATGTTGGCAATAACTTAGTAGAGGGTCATGTTGTCGCTTTGAAAAGAAGCATTGTATTGAAATGTGAAGCTGATGGTTATCCAATGCCGAAGATTACATGGTTAAAGGTAGTTTATCTTCTTTTTGGACTCTTCTTCGAAATATGTACAATTGTGTAGGTAATATTTTGGATACCAATGTCTTCTGTAAAATTTCACAGTCCGTCAATTTCACGCAATCTTGTGAACGAATTCTACGAAGACTTACGTAAATTCATTCGTAATAATAGAGAAGAAAATCTGTGTCATTAAAATTCAATATTAATTTTCAAAAGTCACCGTGTTACTCGAAATTTTATTTTATATTTAATTTTTAAGGTCTTATTTGCAGGACACACAAAGACTAAGTGAGAGTTTATCAAACATTCAACGTGTGTTGGGGAACAGTTTGTTAGCTATATGGAGCGCCGACGTCAGGGACGCGGGACAATACATATGTGTCGTTGAGAATGAAGCTGGCACTGCTCATCGAAGGTACAATATTGCTATACAAGGTAAGACCAGTAATACTTGCTTTTGAAAGCCCTCCACTATCATTAAAAGTATTACCGTCAAGTGTCTCGCAAAAAAAAACCGCCAAAAGTGTGGGAGAGTCAAGCTTTGGCACGAATGGGCCGGTTCGGCCGTATTGATCTCACGACCTCATAGAAAAACGGCAAACACGTTGTGTTCGCTGTGTGAGTGAAGTTACGGGAGGCCTAATATTCCCTATCCTTAAATCCCTAAGGACCCACAAGAGGTCGGCAACTCACTTGTATTAACTCCTTTGGTATTACGAGTGTCCACGGGCGGCGGTGATTGCTTACCACCGGGCAATCTATCTGCTTGCTTGCCGACATATGACATAAAAAAAATCGCCACGTACATATTGTGAACTAATGCCCGGTTTCCGAAAGCCCGAGCAATGTTAAAATCAACTAACTAGGTGTCAAATCTCTTGTCAAGTCATCTGATTCGTTGTTGATAATTCAGTCAACCAATCAGATGACTTGACAAGACATTAAAATGATTTTAACATTGATCGGCCTTTCGGAAACCGGGTGTTAGTCTATCTAGTCAGTTCTGGTATAAAAGTCAGCTGGGGGTTGCTAATGCAACCCAAGTAATGCACCCTGCCGCGGCCCAGAGCAGAAGGAGAAACAGGGTGGGTTTTAGTCAGAAAAAGTCTGACACTCCCTCTCGCCCCACGCAGGGCGGGAGAAGTAATTTGATGTTTCCCTCTTTAAAATATTTGAAAACGCACTTTATTTTTTATGGGTTAGTGTTCAAATTTTAAAAGTGTTTTTATTACCTATTTACAAAAAGAACATTGCATTTAATTAAATCATTTCGAACGTGTTTACATCGTTATCAAAAATGTTACCTATTTTACGTATGTTTTAGTTCCCGCAAAATGGAGTTCGTGGACACAATGGAGTTTGTGTAACGTAACCTGTGGATTGGGATACCAGCTAAGATCGAGATCCTGTCATTTTATCGACGAAAAGAATAGAACCATTGGTAAGTAATACAGTGCATTTGAGAGTTTTTTAAACTTAGCAAAGCCGTTTGATAAGAAAATCATGACGAAACATAGGTCATTTCAATAAAGGGACATCTTTTGTTTACTTACAATAATTTTCTGTATTATTTAATAATAAATAGTTCTTATTTCTCTTCTCGATGTATTTTTAATACCTATGTACTGAATTTCTGCAAGGGTGTACCACAAGGGTCAATTTTAGGTCCAATGTAAAACATGATGCCGATTTTGTAGTATTTGAGTTTATATTATAATTCGGATATTTCAGACAGTTCTTCGAAATCAGAGAAAATAATTCTAGATCAAACAGCGTGTAAGGGCTCGACAGTTGATAAAAGGAAATGTCATATGCCTCCCTGCGATGTAAGTATTGGTAATTTATATTTTTTCTATCTTTATATATTAATAGTTTAAACTATTACACATTTATTTATAGTAGTATTAGTACCTACACATTTTTTACCAGAAAATTATCTGATTCAAATTAAATTGCCACAAAAGTGCGTCCTTAATTCTGAACCCGCCAAACTATTTTATGTCAAGAGGCGCTCTTTATACAAGTCAATGAATATTAATTTCTAATTGAGTCGGTAACAACGACACCAAGCCGTAGAATTACCCGATGGTAAGCAATTGGCGCCATCAATAGACATCTGCAACTAAAGAGGACTTACACGTACGTAACCGGCCTTTTAAGTCAAAGTCAAAGTCAAAATCATTTATTCCAATTAAACCATCAATAGGTACTTTTGAAACGTCAAAATAGAAAAGTAGTCTGTCAGTCTGTTTGTCAGTGAAGCTAGGTGCTCATTCCAAATTGTAGATTCGAATGGAGAAGAACGAGCAAGAAACTCCATTCGTTACTCTTTTTTTTTAAAAAAATTGTTTTACAATTTCAATAATATAACATTTATAGTATACATTAGTGTACCCTTATGTGAGAACAATGCAGAGACAAGTTGTTAAAAAAAAGAACAAATGAGGGGACCTATCATAAAATTTTACTCCTTTGTCGTCTCGAACATGGCGCTCACATATGCGTACTCACAATATTTAAGAGTGCTTCTATATAAACTTTTTGGATATATAAATTAAGGATGCATTATTTTTGAGAATTTTACCTAACTGCTGACTATATTTGAGTATTGTCCAGTGGAGCCGAATCAACACGCTGCCAGGCATTCTTATCCTCAATATAATCTGAAAGTTTGTAGTATGCCTGTCTACACAATTCACGTTTAATATAAGTTTTAAATTTTCGTTCGTTAAGATTCAATACAGTACTTGGAATTTTATTGTAACAATTTACACAGAACCCCATAAAGGATTTCTGTACCTTGGACAGACGGAATCGTGGCACAGCCAGCCTATCTTTGCCTCTTGTATTAAAATTATGTCTATCGCTTCTTTTTTCAAATAATTGCAAATTTTTCCTTACATACATAATATTTTCATATATAAACTGACAAGGCACCGTCAGGATATTTATCGTTTTAAATAGTTCTCTCAGAGATTCGCGACGGGGCAAGTTGTATATCGCTCGGATAGCCCGCTTTTGTAGAATAAATATTGATTCTACTTCCGCAGCTCGACCCCACAGCAAAATTCCGTATGACATAATGCTGTGAAAATAGCTAAAATAGACAAGCCTTGCTGTGTTCACGTCTGTGAGCTGTAAGTATTAGGGATTTACGGATGTGCGAGGATTCTCATTGATATTTATATTATTTTGTACATAATCTTTTAGGTGGATGAGTCAAAGCCCCGCTGGTCGATGTGGTCCCGATGGTCGGAGTGTTCAGTGACTTGCGGTGTAGGCACTCAGGCGCGAACCAGACGGTGCAAAACTAAAGCCAAGTGCGAGGGCGATAACGTACAGGTAACTATTTCATTTATTCTCATTTTGGCTGTACTCTAAAAAGGATTTGTTTAGTCGCAAATGTAGATAAAATCGGAGATTTGCCACATCAGGTATAATTTCAGACATTAGATAGTGAAAATTGCAAAGTAGGCTAATGAGGAGGTCCAGGCAGTTAATAAGCTCCTTTGATAAGAACCATTATGACAACTTTCAGATAAAGAAGTGTCCTGACTTACCGCTCTGTAGTCCAGTTTTAAACCAAAGTAGTGAAAATGAAGTTAGTGACAACAATAACAACAACGAGGACAATAGTGACCCTGTAAGTATAACAGCAAAAATCATCAAAATTTCTATTTTACTGAAAATATAAAGAAACATATCGCACCTTTTTTCAAACGTTTCCACACACTAAGTTTTTCTCATGTGGCGTGTGCTGCTGTTACAAACAGTCATAGTCATATACACATAACACCCGAAACAACAATTTATGATCATACTAAGAAGTGAGGTTGCCCAGCCACCGCGCTAAACGTTCAGTCAGAATAATCAGCAAACCGTGCATTCCTTTAAAAAGCTCGCCCGACGTTAAACCACTGCCTTAGAAAACCGGCGCGAAACAACCACAGTGTTGTGAGCGAGGTTACTGGAGGCCCCAACCTTCCCCACCCCTAATAATCTAATAATCATCTTTATTCAGAAAAAAATAAACTTCCACAATAAATTTTAGTCCCCTTTTAAGTATGAAGAATACCTGCGCTAGGCGGCCCTTTTCAAAACTAGTACACTACTAGTAGTATGTAGGAGTGTGCTTATAATTAATTACAAGGGTTTACATTTTTTACTTAAAATCCAATGGAATAAAGATAAAGAAAAGAAAAGTACTAACAGACAAATCAAATAACTCAAGTGTACGCGCTCCTGTGTGTGTGAGAGAGAGAGAGAGATCTCTCCCCTCTCTCTCCCTCTCTACATCTCTAAACCTCCAAATGTCTATCGAATCCCGAAAAGGTCGGCAATGCACTCGTAGCTCCTCTGTTGTTGTAAGTGTCATGGGTGGCGCTGATTTCTTACCATCAGGTAATCCGTCTGCTCGTTTGCAGTCCTATCACATAATACTACATTGACTAGACAGACAAGACCACTCGCTACATTAACGCCATCTATGAGCACAAAACCGTTGTCAAATTGTCCTTAGTAACTACAAACTATAACTGTTTCAGGATTCTTACCTTCCAGACCTAACGTTTGAAATTCAACCAGAAACAATTAACTCATATTCCTCTCCGGACGTTGAAGAATTTTATAGCACATCAGGTTAGTATACTATTCTTGCTTTTGCCTATTACTATTACAAATATGTATGGAAGTTTGTAAGGTTGTTTTTACGCTTTTGCGTAAAGGCAAGCACAATAATGTAGCGCAGCCCCTTCCCGGAGCAGGAGAATGTAAGGTAAGGATTGGTTTTTAGTGAGTAAGAGTCAGATACTCCATGTTGTCGATAGTCAGATAACTTCCCTCTCAGGGCAGGGGACGTGGCAAAATATATTATCGGTTCAAAAAAAACAGGCTCAAATAACGTTTAATAAGCCCTGTTGGGTTCGAACACTTCAGCTTACCGGGTTTCAAGGAGGCAGCCTGCCTCCCAGCTAGACGTGAATTTTTTCCCCACACTTTTCTGCAGGTTAAAAGTACCTATAGATAGTGAAGGGCAAACATGTTACCGATAGTTTATTTTTTATTATTATTTCTAAATAACTAAAGTGAAGGATAACCATGTTAAGGCACGAGTGGAGTGATACCATGGCCTCACAGAAAACCGGCGTGACACAATCGCAGCGTTGTATTTCGCCGGTCAAGCTCGTCGCCGTCAAAGCTAAAGCCTTCCAAACACTAAAAAAAAACACAAAATAATGTGACTCTTATCACATTAATATAAGTTTGCATTTTCAGGGTCACAAGCAACTACAGTTTTCTTCGATATAAGTGTGACGGAAAATTTGGATCACAGTGACAGAGGCCCGTGTGATCCTGGGTACAGGCACAATGCTACGTTGAGTACCTGTGAAGGTATGTTACAAACTATATAACGTACTTATATGTACTTGAAATTATTGATTTAGATTTGGTAATCTCGACATAGGATAGGTAGCACAAAGTCGCCTTCTCTGTCTTTATATTCCGATATAGGTATGCTTTAACCTTCCAACTATGCAAAGGATTTTGTTGCGGTTTTTTAAATAAAGAGACTGATTGAAGAGGAAGGTTTATGCATAATAACATCCGTTGATAAAATGATGGAGAAATTTAAAATTAGAATTGCACCCGCGCGAAGACGCAGCGGGTTACTAGCTAAACTATAAATAAAAAATATAAATTATTTTAGTTAGCTGGTAATAAAGATAATGGATTTAACAATAAATAAGGCTGAAATTGATGACCTATGAAAAAACAGCTCAATTAAAAATTACGTTCTACATTCAAATTTATAGTAGTATTTCAAGTTGTTGTTGTTGTTTTCTGTGCAGACATCGACGAATGTTTGCTGGAGACGAACCAATGTCACTCAACACAGATTTGCGTGAACACGGAGGGAGCGTACCGGTGCTCATGTCCTCCCGGGTACCTCGCACTGGCGGCAGGACAGAGGTGTTTAGGTGAGAATTACTTCTTAAATCTTTTTTTTATTAAAGCTATTGGATCCTCTTATGGTAAGCAATCGAAGCTAGCATCAGTATCACCGTGATTTAGAATTGGGACGAAACGGTAGAGAGACATTTATACCGTTGCGCTATAAGTTTAATATCTTTTGAATGGAATGCCCGATTTGAGTAATTCAAAAAGTAATTAGTAGGTGTTGAAACAGACTTGAATATGAAATATTTATTAATATAAACTAATACTTAATGTCAATCCCAGCAAACAGCAACGCAATAGTGAAAACCGCATTCAATTAGGTTAAGCCGTTTTTTGAGATTAGCCGGAACAAACGCACAAACGAACAGTCAAAATTTCAAAAAATCATTGTTTTAAGTTCTATTGCGTATATAAACTTTCCCTAGTAAAGTTTTTCTTATTTATCTTCAATTTCATTATATGTATTGATAAAGAATAGTTATTTTTACCCAGTTTTGATAATTTTTCTCAGATATAAACGAATGCGAGTTGGAGACGGACGGGTGTTCGCACTCGTGCGTGAATACAGCGGGCGGGTACGCGTGTGCCTGCCCGCGACATCTGCGTCTACACGTCGATAAACATCATTGTGTTACACGTAAGACTAGTCTAAACTATATCACCATATTACATAGTTACCATACGTATTTTCTCACATATTTCTAGTAAATAGATAAGTTTTCACATCACGACGAATACCTCAAATAGGGTCACCATTTACACCGACGATACTAACGTACATAACACAAGTATACAGGGTGTCCAAGAACCTGGCGTCCAACTGGATTCCCACGATGCCCCAAGTTCTAACAGTACTCAGAAAAATATTTTAAAAAATCCACCCCATGTACTTACAGAATTATACTGATTTCAAAAAAAAAGGGGAATTGAGCACCCGTTGACATACTTTTGAATGCTGTGACTGCTAATGCTGATAATTTCGATATTTCTTGGAGGTTTTGTAATCTAGGGTATTGCTGTGTCTAAATAGAATGTAAAAATAAAGTACTTATTGTACCATTTTAAAATAAAATATTATTTTAACTAAAGGTGATATGGAAAACTATTGAATTTCGCAACTTTGACCGACTGTAGTGTAAAAAAATGTACCAAAATAGTATGGCAAGTGACGTCAAATTTTGACGCGTTTATTCCTCTTTTTAAAAAGGTATAATACTTACACATTAATTTGAAAAAAAAAATTTTTGATAATATTTTTACTCAACAACCCAATTTTTACGATGTCTTACAGAATTCTTAGAAAGAAAAATTTACGACGAATTGAATCTAACCTCTAAAGAATTACTATTGTATGCTCATAAAAATAACAACAGGTCTCTCAAAAAACAGGTTAGACCGTAAGGGACGGTATGTGCATGCATCTCACCATAGTGATTCGTTATTACAACAGGAGGGAGCAAGACAGAAACTATCTTTGCGATTTGCTGGTTCTTCTTTATGGTACCCCATTATTCAGGTAAGAGTGAGGGAGAAAAAGGTTAGAGGTGCGAGTGAGATAGATAGTGACGCTATCTGGGATCGTGCTATTTAGGATAACAGTACGGTCAGTACGCGTCACTGCCTCCTGCCGTTACTACGCACCTCTCTCTTATTGTTACCATTGATCACGTACTACGATTTAAAGCTTTGTTTATTGGACTCGATTACTCTTTGTGCTCTGGACTTTGAAACGAACTCTTTACGACGACCTTTGCCTGTGTTTGGACAGTTTGTGTTTTGTGTGTGCTACCATGGCGACCTACACTCCGCAAGAATACGCAAATATGCACTACATTTATGGAGAATGTAGAGGTAATGGACGAGCTGCAGCGAGACTTTACAGAGAAAGGTATCCGAGGGCTACGCGATATCCCGACCATCGAGTTTTCATTAATGTGCACAGATCACTATGTGACGGGCGGTTCCCCAATCAAGTAGCTGGTGAAGGACGACCCGTAAATGACTTCATACGCGATGAAGTTTTAGAGGCGGTGTCGGCAAATCCAAGCATCTCTGTGCGAGGAATAGAAGCTGATACGGGGATACCGAAGAGCACAGCACACAGTATTCTCCAAAAAGAAGAATATCATCCGTACCACGTACAGCGAGTGCAAAGTCTTTTACCTCGAGACTATCCGAGCCGAGTCGTGTTTTGTGAAACAATCCTGCAAAAACATCGAGAAGACGAAAACTTTATCGACAAAATTTTGTGGTCAGATGAATCAACATTTAAGAAGGATGGCTACATGAACCTACACAACTTGCACGAGTGGCATGTGGAAAATCCGCAGTTGATGCGAGAAGATAGATCCCAGTACCGGTTCAAAGTGAACATGTGGACCGGTATTCTCTGTGGGAATATTATTGGTCCATTTGAGATGCCCGAGAATTTGACTGGCGAATCATATTTAAATTTTCTTCAAAATGATTTGCCAAACTTACTAGAAGAGACCCCACCAGATATATGGTTCCAACACGACGGCTGTCCAGCACATTTTCGCGTATCCGTTAGAGAGTTTTTGGACGAGCAATACCCGAACAGGTGGATTGGGCGATCAGGAACAATCCCGTGGCCAGCCCGCTCACCTGACTTAAATCCGCTGGATTTTTTTTCTGGGGAACTATGAAGGAGCTCGTTTATGCGAAGCCCATTAATGACATCGCTGACCTTCGTGAGAAGATAACACAAGCAGTGCAGGTGATACGTCAAAAAAGTTACTCGCGAAACGTAAAGCGGTCCTTTTTAAGGAGAGTGAGAGCTTGTATTGCCGCAGGTGGTCAACATTTTGAACATTTATTGTAATAAAATATCTTTAAACTAACATTCTTTGCTTTTATTCTACTGGGAACCCATCTACCTGTGTGTATTTCCTTCTTGCTCACTCTTGGAACCGAAGTAAATAATAGTAGTAACATAACAGTTTCTAAGATAAGAAAGGGTCCGACAGTTACCGTTAGTAGGTAGGCACTTCGTAAAAATTGGGTTGTTGAGTAAAAATATTATAAATTTTTTTTTTTTCAAATTAATGTGTAAGTATTATACCTTTTTAAAAAGAGGAATAAACGCGTCAAAATTTGACGTCACTTGCCATACTATTTTGGTACATTTTTTTTACACTACAGTCGGTCAAAGTTGCGAAATTCAATAGTTTTCCATATCACATTTAGTTAAAATAATATTTTATTTTAAAATGGTACAATAAGTACTTTATTTTTACATTCTATTTAGACACAGCAATACCCTAGATTACAAAACCTCCAAGAAATATCGAAATTATCAGCATTAGCAGTCACAGCATTCAAAAGTATGTCAACGGGTGCTCATTTCCCCTTTTTTTTTTGAAATCAGTATAATTCTGTAAGTACATGGGGTGGATTTTTTAAAATATTTTTCTGAGTACTGTTAGAACTTGGGGCATCGTGGGAATCCAGTTGGACGCCAGGTTCTTGGACACCCTGTATAATACATACATATATCTACTTATAAGCATCCGTCCGCGGCTTCGTCCGCGAAAAAAAAGCGCGTAAAAAAAGTCCGGAGGTATCCTACGCATGTGCCAAATTTCATCCAGATCCATCTAGCCGTTTTGGCGTAATTGAGTAACAAACATCCAAACATCGTAACTTTCGCATTAAGTAATAATATTACTAAGATTATAATGTATGGTCATGATTGTACTGTTGTGATTAAGTTTCCATAAAATGCTAAGTTAACTGTATCGTATTTGACATTTCATTAAAAGTATTGAATTTGACTACCTAGTTTAGAAAATCGTATTGACATTTGTTTTTTTATTTCAGCCGCTTTGTACCGAAGACCACTCAACGAGTTAGAGTCTGAATACTTGAGCACTACAATAGACTTCCCAACGAAATACACAAAAACTATAAGGAATACTAAATCATAACTGAATTTTTTTTGGTCACAGAACTGCGGATTTCCATCGATAACGATCTATATCCTAGAAAATAATAGAAACAACCTATTTCTAAGTAGCTAATTTAGTAGGAAATAAATGTAAAAAAAGTTTATCACATTTGTATAAGTGCCCACTGCTGAGCAAAGGCCTCTTCTCATACGGAGAAAGTTAGAGCATTAATCACCACGCTTGCATCTTCATATATTCATATTATACGGGGTGTTGATAAGTAAGGTACTTATTGTTGTAAATTATTTTGGAAATAAAACTTCAAAATATTATTTGTTATCAATGTTTTTTTTATTTTCTACGTGCTTATTGTTGTGTGAATTTCATTTAGTAACTTAGTATATAACTTACTATTTAATTCAGAAATTCATTTTTTTATTTCACTTTTAGACTGCACCTAACTCATTTTACGTAGTGTTCAAAATATTAATCACGCACGTATATACTCTTATCTTTTATGGCTATGTACCTACTAAAATTGAACTATCTAAGTTACATTTTTCATACAGAACACTTAGGGTGTTCTGTATTAAATATTTTGTAATAAGGCCCTAATGTCTAAAGACTATATTTCGATCTAGACTATATTCTAATCAAAGTTACGCATATAATTGGAATGGGAGAAGTGCAAAAATCTGCAGTCTAGTTAGGAAATACAACGGAATTAGGTACCTATTTACAGAAAATAAATAGATATTGATTAATAGACTTTAACTTTGTCTAGTTAAGGTCGTAATTCTAACGTGTCTATTTCCTAAAGGCTCTTTTACTCGATACCATTTTCTTAAACAAACAATTTAAGCATCATTTCCATTATACCATACGTATTGGTTAAACCATGTAAGTGAATATTACTTGAATTGTATGCAATAGGCAAGAAGATTGTATCGTTTAAACAGGGCTCAATACTACACATGACTTACAATAATAATTGTAAATAGTTATTTTCTAATACGAAGTAAATATAATTTATAAGTATATTCAAGAAAATACGTCTCTACAGTGTGTAAGTTGATAAAAATATATTTTCTCTACGTAGCAATGGGTGCGAGCCTCTCGTTCCCTATAATCTTCTTTATAGGTCCTCGCTTTGCGTCAAGTACTCGCTCGTCGTTCTTTCGGGCGACGTTTCTGGAACGTAAGGCCAATAGAAATAAGAACGAATCAACACTGATCTGCAGTCCCATTTCTTCATCAAAAAAGTAACGTTTAAATAAGTAAGTTTTTGATGGAAATGGTTTGAAATAATAATTAAATAAAAACAATATATTTGCGTGTGGATAAAATGAAACTGAAAATTGTTAAAGTGATTTTCACATAAGTAAGTACAGCTATATAGGATTAAATGGCTTAAAATGTAAGTAGGTCGTTGTTCCCCCATTACTGCTCTCTCGACATAAAATGGTGCAGCGCACTGAAATTCCAAGGTAAACACAACACTATTTTCGCTAAGCTATCCACCACCGCGGATTCATTTTGGGCAGGAAGTAACAGCAACCCACAAATTGTTACGCTTCGTTTCACAAGGGAATAGAGCGACGTTTGTTTTCTTTTTTATTCATTGCATTTGCTCCGTAATTTCATTGGCTATTTTTATCCATAACCAATTTACAAATTACACCATAATCAAAACCAGACACCGTGTCATAGACTGGTAACCAACACTAAAACAATATTATTCTTAATACAAAAACCTGTATATGGCATTTGTTATTTTACGGGTATAAAAACAATTTATGCCATACCCTTGTTAACCTTATCTGCACATTTTCATGACACAGGTGCGGACTTACAATTTCCGATGATACTTACTGCCAGTAGCTGCTATTCTTCTGCAGGCGCATGATATTGTTCTGACATATCATCAGCTCGTTCTGCAAGTAAGTTCTTTGGTCGTTCACTCTCACGAACAACTAGAAATTGTTTTATTAAAAATAAATTAATGAAATCTCACCTTAGTACTTTACTAGAATGGCACTAAAGTACCTAGATAACATCCCATTGTGTTTCCAAAAATAGGAATGCGAAAATCTAAGAATACTACTAGGTATCTACGCCATTAATCGATTATTTTACCATTAGGAATCCGTTAATACAGATAAAAAAATATTTTTATAAATTGCCAGGGAACCTAACAGTGATGTATTTAATTCGTACGTTACCTTAGACTCCGAGTCCAAACGCCATTCTTTGCTTCGCAGCGTACTTATCAAGTCTGTTTTCAGACGCTCAAATCTTTTCACCGTCCGCAACAACTCTGCCTGTAAATATTTTATCTAGTGCAGTATGAACCCCCCCTGCATAAAACTTAGATCCACCTACGCTACTGCTGCCACTACGTTGATCAGTATTAAAGTTTAGTCTAAAACCAAAAGGCTAGAGTAAAACTTATAAAAAGGCTGGAGGGACCCAAAATAATTGGCATAGTAACTCCGCATTTTCCTAGTTTGCCACTGATACAATCTTGTAGGACGTTTCGTTTAAAACTTCTAAACATTACGTGAATTGAACCAACGTGATGTTTACACTTAAGTATGGTGTAGACGAGACGAGAGTTGAAGGTTTTTTTGGCCAATGCATTTATTTAGGTACAAGTGATTTTTTCTCTTTATTATATTTAGAGACTTTTATGCAAAATATTCTTAACAATAGGAAGTAGGTAATTCTCTAAGAAGGTGTAAAAACGGTGAAGAATGGTAAACAAAGGTATTATGTAACATAGCCCATTTAAATTTAAACGTTGCCCCTCTCTATGATTCTCTCCTGCGTAGTGGTTGCAGTTACAAGCATACAATTTCACATACACATGACACCCAGACACACATAGAATTGGTCCGTGCGAGAATCGAACCCGGTGCACGGCAGCCAGTTGCCCAAACACCGCACCAACCGTACAGTCACGTCCCTACGTTACCTTTTAATTTATGTAAACAGATAATAACTTACCGGTGTAAGAAGGTCCAGATTTATGTTGAGGTCGTCGTGTTTTAGTTTGCAGTCTGGACAAAAGGTTCCATTAATTATTTGGGGAGTTATAAACAAATTTACCTTTAAATTGAATCTGTGGCACACTTTATAAGACACATAGTTACTGAATTCTGATATATAGACCCAACAATAAATAAACTTACCGGCTCCACAAATCTTAGCTTTTTTAATCTTGTCTTTCAAGGCTGGCAGTTGTTCCCTAAGAGTTTCTATGGTGTCTTGGTAAACCTTGTGTCTTGCACTCTCCTTCATCAAATCGTCGTCATGGTCCCAAGTGTAATCCGTTTTACGCAACTCGTCTTGAACTAGTACTATCTGTTTTTCAAGTTCTCCATTCTGCCACGCTGCTGATTCTCTATAAGAAGAAGAAAGAAAGAAAGAAAGATTCTCTATGAGAAAGAAAATAAAAATGGTTACATACTTGTTAGGCACATCAGCAAATGGACTTACTTTAGGGACTGCCGAGTAAAAGAGGACCGACTGAGTAAAAAATATATTCCATGCGCCTAATATTTTTGTCATATCAAAATGTGGTATCGTACTTCGTAGGCTTGGGCTCTATTATCACAAAAATACTTTTTGCAAAATGCATCTTGCAAATAAGGTATAAGGAAGTAAATTTAGATGTGAGCATCCTTGACCTAATAGAATAAGGTCAAAATTAAGTAGGTTAACATGAATCGTATTATCAATCAGGTACGTAGGTAAGTAAAAAAAGTATAAGCAATCATTCTATACTTCTATAATTAGGTAGGTACATCAGTGGGATACTTAGCTCTATTTCTGTAAAATTCTAATTTAGTAAAAAATAATCACACAAGTATGAGCATATAATTTATCTTTAACTGCTAGCTACTTTCAAACTACAACTACAATTTATTTGGACTTACTGACCGACAATTCTTTTCATGTTCCAATTCAGTTTTCAGACATTCAATTTCACAATCGTTCATTGTGGAATTTATTTTGCAATTTTTGTCCAGTGATTATTGTGAAACCAGTTCTTGTAGTGAACACAGTAGTGCTCTTGGGCTTACGATTGATTAAACGCACGATGGCAACCAGTTATTAGGAAGAAATTTGGTCCTTCAAACAGAAAATTTGCATCTAATTTCCATAATCTATACCTGCAGCAAGTTAGAATGTTGTTCGCTTAGGTGAATTAAATGTATGTAAAAAACTGCAATATAAATTACAATTTTAGGTTTTGACAATTAACGGAACCATTGTGTAAGTACATACCTACTAGAGTTTTTTCGAAATAATAAAATTATTGTATTTTTTATTGACTACATGTTTAATAAAATGTGAAATCTTACTACATGTTTAATTGTTTTCATTGTAACCGGAGATTTCGCCTTGATAATGTGGTTACCCTCTATATTAATTTACTCTTTGGGTGTAGGTAACTAAACGTCAAATAAACTGTCAAATCATTCGTTACAAATGCCAACTTGACATTTAATGTCAAAACAAAATAATTTAAATTCAAAATTTCAAATCGAAAGAGAGTAACCGAAACAAAAGACGCTCGTACAGAATTTTATTAAAATATAATCAAAATGAGCTTGTTAAGTGCTGTTCTACAGGAAGCCAATAAAGTTAGTATACAAGAGTTAAAGAAAAGTCGAGACCAAGTTTTACCATTAATAAAAGACTTAACTGAACGAGTGCAATTACTGTCTTGGGCACTACAACAGAATATAATCGATACATTCGTTAATTTTACTATAACAAAGAGTTTAGAGCAACTAAACTATTACAACCGGAAAACCAAAATACTCACGGACCATTCGAAATGCGAAGAAGATATAAAATCGCTCCAGGAAAGATATGAAGTAAGTGATGAAGAATTTAAAAATCATTGTGTAAAGTTAAACAAATCAATGGATATTTTCAAAGATTTATGTGTTATTGTTGATGGGAAACGGATTTTAGAGAAGGCAAATCATGAGTTTGGCAGGTACAACTACAGTGATGCTATGATGGCAGTGAAAAGTTTGAAAACGGAGTTGAAGAATTTAAAATTCGAGGGTAATATGTCAAAGGCGTTAACGGCTATTAATGCACAGGCTGAAAATCAACTAGCTTTGTACACAGCCCAGCTAAGTATTGAATGGGAAGATATTTTTACATGGTCCGAGAAAAAAGGTCTTAAATTTTTGACATATTCTTTGTCTATACAACAGAGTGACCCAATTCTGCTAAAAAAGATATTAAATACCTTGTATGTAACAAAAAGAATGTATGCAGAACTAGGCTTATTTTCACATTTCTTTATTAATAATTTACTTCACAATGTAATCAGACATAATTGTGATATATTTACTGAAGATCATACTGGGGCTATTGTTTTTAACATCAGAATAAATCTCAATGACCCAAATAAACCAAATTATCAAACTATCTTCAATAATTTGACTGCAATTTTTGAATTCTTACATTCAACTTTGGGCTCGCAGTTTGAAAGTGATTACACCTTCATAGAAATATTTGCAGAGACAATCCGTCAAAAGTTTTTTAACAAGATAATTGAAGACTGCATCAGAATGAACTTACCATCTTGTGACAGCAGCTACCAGAACTATAAGAACATAGTTATTGAATTGGATGCATTCAACAAGTTTCTAATCGATTTAAAATTTGTAAAAGAGTCCGAATCACCTCTGAACAAATACATAGATGACACTGAATGTGTGCTGTATAACAAGAAATGTGATAAATTACTTGCCGATGTCCGCACACTGTTGAAAGAGAGTCTTTCTAATGGTTTAATTGTTGTTGGTTCAGAAACTAATAATAATGAAAATGAATCCATATTAGATGTTACTGATAATAGCATTGTATGGGATATAACAAAGCCTCTATTTTTACCTAAATGTGTCATTTCACATAATGTTAAAGCAATAATGTCGTTAATCATTGAACATTTGGAAGAGAGTGCCAAGTTGCCGGAGAAATACAGCACGCAACTGGTTGGGTACATAAAGGATATTGCCATTATGTACCAGAGTTTTGTACCCAAGAAGTTCAAGATAAATTTGGAATGCTGTCCTGCTGACATTGGTAAGGACAAAATCATATTAATAATATTTTGTTATTAATGTCTGACTCATTGTTAAAATTAACAATTTAAATTGTCAAAACAAAACAGTATAAATAATCCCCTTTTTTTTAAATTAAATCTTAAAATTATTTCATTTCAGCGCTGTTCTTCAACAACTGTTTCTACCTGGCACATGGTCTACTTGGACCTCCATGGTGTAACAGCCTTCCCAAGGGTTTGGCTGACCAGCTAAATGTGGTGCTGTTAGAGTGCATACAAGACCTAAGAGTGTTAGGTCTTGAAAAAATATCCCTGTACCTTCAAAATCAGAAGAGTAACATCATGCAGAGTATTGATGGCAATGGTAATTACTTGACTAATTAAAGCTTAGAGTACTAGAGTAGGTACTACTTATTAATATTTTTTTGGTTAATTAATTTCATATTTAATTCTCTTAAAATGTGGTGGTGAGAAGCGTTTAATTTCGTAAATTAAATGCTTCTCACCACCACATTCTCTATTTTGTTAAATGCTTCTTCATTATATACCCAGATTTAAAAAAAATAAAAATTATAAAACTTAACCAAATCTTTGCTACCACTACCATGTTGGGTAGTTTCCAAGGTCAAAAATAAATTTATTTTATTTATTTCAATGAATAATAATTTTATTTCAATGCAATAAAAAATTGAAAAATAAGTATACTTTTATTCAGCCATCGATCGATACACTAACCCCCGATTTCCGAAAGGCCGATCAATGTTAAAATCAATTTAATCTCTTGTCAAGTCATCTGATTGGTTGACTGAATTATCAACAACCAATCAGATGACTTGACAAGAGATTTAACAGGAGATTAGTTAATTTTAGCGTTGACAAGCCTTTCAGAAACCGGGTGTAAGTTTTACATATTTTGTAGCTAATTATAAAGAAATAAGTAAGCTATTTGACGCAAGAATACTAAGACGTCATAACTCAGTTTTTCATAGAAAAGTATCGTTTTTGACATTTCGATTAAGTATAGAATTTGACTAGTTGGAAACTACCGTATCTCGACAATTATTAATACGACAGAAATCAATCGTTAAGTCGGTACACACTCATCAATCATATGGGTAAAAAAACTTTTGTCGTCACCAAAGTCGAGACTAGCTTTAATGAATACAAATTATATTGCGTTTCTAAAAATTACAGGTGCCGAATGGACCCATGAGTCTTACGAGCAATTTGATTGTGCAATCAACAATGCTTTAGCATTGATGAAAGATCTGAAGTCATGTTGGCTTGACGTCCTGCCGGCTCGTATGTATGAGATGTCAGTATGCACTCTGGTACAAACATTGTGCCAGTCAGTACTAGACCGACTGTTAGCGGACAGTAAACCCGTCACTGAAGAACTGGTTTACATGTTGGCGATGAGGGTTGAATGTACAACAGCTGAAATCTTCACGTTATTTGAGGTAAGTTTTAATTTCCTGTTATTTTACACGGTTTGCACAAATCTCGATACTAATTATGAGAAAAGTACCCACTTTTTAGCTATTGAGATTTTTTGTTTGTCAGAGAAAGCCTAACAATACTTTGACCAATTTTGCTACCAAATATCCAAGCTACTAACTTGGCGCGTACGACCGTTTCACCAATCGCGAATATCGCGATACCTAGCCAGTAACAGACATAGTGGCTCTCACAGTGACTCACAATATTTTAACTTATATTTTTACAAGGAGTTTATTATTTACATACCTACTTACTCTGTTACAGGAGCCTATTGAATTCGACTTAAAAATCAACATTTGGTCGAAGTTTACAAAACTGCCGCAGTTGTTGAAGGCACAATTGTTAGAAGTATCGGATCTATGGAATAAGGACAGAGATCAGTTCAAAAGCTACAGCTGCGAGGAAGTACGCCATATTGTCAAGATGAGGTTCCCCGACGATAAATATAGGCTTAAGATATTGAAAGAAATACAGTGATTAATATATCGATAATTGTGTTTTATTTTGCATGGTTAAAACTGAGACTGAAACTATATCGCATTTTATAACGGGAGGCTGATTAGGTGCAAGAAATTCGTGATTCTCTGAACAGCGTATCCTGGTTGCCAGGATCGGGCGAGACCTGTCTCTCTTCCATCCATAGATGAAGCTATGCTGATCAGAGGCATCAAAATTTGAGAGAAGTGGCTTCCTTTTGTGAGACTTTAATGTAGGTACCTAATAAAAAGAAGCTCCAGTTCGTCAAAGAGTATATAACCACTATCGTCATTGCCGTTCGTAGAAGGCGTCGAGGAAGCAACTGCCTCGATGCCTTACGTGCCCATTGGATAATGTAAGCAAACCATTGAGTGAGGAATCTACGCGCCCACCCTGTGATTTAACGTCTCGATAGGGATATAGGTGCCGTAACAGGCGTTGCACCGTTGGGACGCCGGAATTGGTCTAATACGAGGACCCGGTGTAGATGGTGGCAATAGGAATATGTAAACAGCGCCGCCCATGGACACCCGCAACGGAGGAGTTACGAGTGCGTTGTCGACCTTTTAGGGATTAGGGGCGGGGAAGGATTGGGCCTCCGGTAACCTCACTCACAGTGCGAAACACAACGCTGTTAAATATTATATTACATGAATACAGCAATATTGATTACTAGTCTTAACTTGTCGTAAATAAAAACACGAAGCTTATTTTCTTTTTACAATAATAACGTTACGCGTTTAGTAAGAAACCCACATTTTGAAAAATCTCATAGGGGTGGGAGGAGTGTTGAACAAAATCTCACTACATATCATATCACCAAGGGGAGGAGAGGCTGAAATTTCCAAAAAACAACTCATGTACTTAATTTATGAAAATAATCAGTATGCTCGTGTGCCGACCATTCACATAAAAAATCATTTTCTGTGCATAGGTACCTACTGTGTAAGACTATATGTACCTAACTCTTACACTTCAAATGTTTACAGCGGTAAATTGAAATATGATTATGCTGTGTGGAAACAGTTGCTGACAAACATAAGGTTAAATAAATAAACAGACAAAATAAATATCTTTTTTTTCGATAACGTCCTTGCCCTGGGTGCAAAAGGGAATGTAAGACTTATTGTTGATTAAAAATCCTGCTGTCTACGGCTCCACCGAATCCAAGTTTGGCACTTTACTAATTATTCATAGAATTGCACAGCAAACGAGCAGGCCGTCCTGGCGGTAAACAATTGCCGCCGCCCAAGGTCATTCTCAACTCCAGAGGAGTTACAAGACCAACTAAGGAAACTTCCATTATGACTAAAAAAATGAATAGGTTGCTAAGGTGAACCCGGTGTGTATCCACAAACTGCGACCAGACACCGAGAGCAGCAACATTCTATAAGATATAGCTGCAATCCTTAAGCCGGGGATTATAGCCATCCGCGTCTCCTAAAGGAGAGACCTTTGTGCAGCAGTGGACGTCTTCAGGCTGATGATGATGATAAGGTATACGTACTAATAGCTGGTATAGAAATTTCGAGTAACATCGCTTCAACGACCGTTTATTGCGTGTTTTACTTATTTACATGGTTGCATATAGTCTACACACTACACACATTTGATGCGTGCGGAAAAACGGAAACAGGAAAATGCATAACAGATATTTCATCGCAAATATCCACAGTTGGATAACTGATATGGCAGGTAAACGTAATTTAAAATTAGACACACGTATTTAATGTAGGAACTCGGACGCATGCGCCGAAACTGTTATGCCTTGGTGCCTATTTAAATGCCTGGAAATATAGGTACATTTTACATGATCAATAATGGTAATTTCGTCTAAATATTGCACATAATGACAGTAAGTAGATACCTACGCTTTCAGGTATTAATTGCTTTATTTTTTATATGACGTCATAATGTTTTTGCGTCGAACAACATAATGTTTAAGTACTTAAGAGTTGCGATCTCATACAAAATTCAAAGAAAAGTAAAAAGTAATCAATTTGAATACTTTTTCGAAATGTCACAACACCACAGTTTTCTTTGATTTTTGTAGGTATTAATTTATTAGAACGTTGTGACGTCACATTTTTTTTAGTCAAATATCATATCAAACTTTATTCACTTAATTAGCAGAAAAAAACGAAAACTTAAGCACCTACCTATAACATCAAATTTTAATTGAGGGGACCCAATTCAGGACATTAGATAAAGTCAACTAACGTATCTTCGTTTAGTTTTAATTTTATTTACTTACTTAGGGAATAAAAATACCACTTTTCAGTTTTTCTGGACTTCCATGACCTAGGGAGACCAGTGATATTGGCATCGGTGGAGAAAGTAATCGTCCTGTCCAGCCACCCATTACGCGAATGCTATATAAGTGAGTGTCGCTTCCTCGGACGTATCATTACGTTTATGTCTGCATCGGCCGCAGGCAACCGCAATATGCAACACTTATCGGTAGGTAAACATATTAAACACAATTAGAAATGTGCGTGACTAGAAAATTAAAATAAATAAGCAAATCGGTTTTCAGTGAAAATAAAACGCAATTATTTTTTCCTAAATTCTCAGAATGAAACGTTTCAAATATGGTGTGAGTGACAGTTATTTTGGCGGGAAACCAGTGATGTGCGAATGTTTCTTTCGGATAAATAAAATCTAGTGAATTAATTTGTGAATAAAGGGTGCAGTTTGCTATAAGTGTATTAATTCGAGTGTGGTAAAGTACAGTAGCTCATTTATCTACATATCTATTAAATGGTTAGGTACTTTATTTGCTGTCTAAGCTTTTTGTATGAGAATTACAGCCAAAACAGGTTAACATGGAACGAGAAGCTGGGCTTCTTCCGTTTCTCTTCAGGAAGAACCTATGCCATTAATTACTGCGTAAACAGTACCTAATCGCTACCTTATACACATGAACTTTTTTTAAATCGTTATGAGCAATTTCTCAACGCTTTATTGTTCTAATAGCTGCTAAAAGTGCTGTGTTTTTTTCGCCTAAAGTGGAATAATACGGAAATATGGATCGCGTGTTTATTTAGTACTGCACGCATCGGCTATGCTGATAGTAAAAACTTAACAAAAAAAACTTAAAAAACATTGAGATATTCGCTCTAAGCACGATTTCATTGTCTTTTTTGTATTTCTTATCATTTGCACTAGTTTAAATTACAGCCGTTAATAGATGATTGAAAGCTGTTCTATGAACTTCAAACATGCAAAGTGAATTTAGTGAAATTGAATGTAAGGATTAAAAATGTATACCTACTTTTACTTAGCTTCTGAATGCTTAAATTCGTTCAGTCTCGGTCAGAATCGAATTCATAATAACTAATTTGATAGGTAACCTTGTGATAAAGGAAGTTTAAAGTAGATTCCCTTAATTTGGTAGGTACTTAGTTACCTAAATAATAAAAAAAGTATATTTGTTATATTAACTGAAAAGTTGCATTTTGTTTCAGACGGCATTGCTGATCATTTCGTTAGTGATCGTCGTCTATCAAGGAAGTGGCGTGACGGCACAAGATGACCTCATTGACGAGCCAATTGCTATAGAAACCAAGAACAGAGCAGTAACAATAATACACAACCCAAAGTACGTAGCTCAAACAAAACCCAGTAACCAGTCTCTGACGAAACCCGACTTGTCTACTTATAAACCTGAACAAAGACCGCCAAGTAAACCGCCCAACATCCCTGATAACCTAGTGATACAAAATGTCAACGCCGATGTACCTTGGCCTAAGCACGGGCAGATACAAAAATTACCGCCTCGACTCTATTCCAAACAACCTACGAAGCTGCAACATTCACCAAATTCTATATACAAGTTTCCTAGAGTGATTCCGCTACCACAACATCATAGAACTTATTATTACAAGCCCAGCCGACCGCTAGTGTATGCCGCCTCAACTGGCGGACCTATAGTTGTAAAGAGTCCTAAGTTCAGTTTGCCTGCTCAAGTGATCAATGGCATCCGAACGGACATAGTCAAACCACCGAAAATTAGTAATACGACGTCATCAACTACTACTTCTACCACCGAAGCTACTACCACAACCACTGAAAAAGTTCTCCGGACGAAAAGGATATGGCCTAAACGTGTACAAGACAAAGCAAACTCGACTTTATCACACAAAACGACATTGACAAATGACAACACGACTTTTACAAAAACTAACACTACCGACCAACCAGATCGTGACACCTCTGAGAGCAAAACCCATCGAACTCGATTTGCATATAGAAACACAACGACTGTGACGACGACTATCAAACCAGACACTCCATCAACGCCACGGGTCTACCGCCCGGTTACAAGGAAACTAAAAGTAAAAACTACCACGCCATTACCACCAATTAACTTCACCAAACTCGAACCTAACGACTGGGTACCAATAATGCCCTCACATTATCCTACTTTCAAGAAAGCACCACCGACATCAATTACTAAACGATCGGACGTATTTACTGCCCTTCCCGCCGAATCACAAAGTAAGCAAATGATGTATTTACAATCTTTTGGGCTCGTCCCGATACCGAGTTCTCAAACTCCTTTCATGGCCAGAAAGAAAATGGTTTTTATGAATCGAAATCGACAATTGAAACCGACTTATTCTGGTTACAGTGGGAAGCGGGGACACTCACCGACGCACTACACGTACGACCTAGAAAGCGATGGCAGCCACCGACACCCTCGAGTCGTCACCAAAATCAAACATCATCATCACCACCATCACCACAAATACATTAAAACTGTCGAAAAACCCATCAAAGTACCATACAAAGTTGAGGTTCCTAAGCCATATCCAGTGCCAGTGGAGAAAAAAGTCGCAGTGCCAGTCGAAAAGGTAAAAGTGGTAGAAAAACCGGTGCCCTATCCAGTAACAGTAGAGAAGAAGGTCCCTTATCCGATAGGAATTAAAATACCACACCCTGTTCCTGTAAAAGTGGTGGAAAAGGAGTACGTGCCGAAACCATATGCCGTAGTTCAGCAGGTTCCAGTAGTGAAACATGTTCCTGTGAAAGTCGCGGTGCCGGTCCACGTTGAGAAGAAGGTACCGTATCCTGTCAAAGTCAATGTGCCAGTGCCTGTGGATAGACCCGTCCCAGTACCAGTGAAGGTAGAGAGGCAAGTGCCCTACCCGGTACCAGTCAAAGTACTCGTCCCACAGCCGTATCCTGTCGAAACGAAAGTACCTTACCCAGTCGAAGTAAAGGTCAAAGAACCAGTTGAAGTAATTAAACACGTTCCAGTGAAGGTGCCTTATCTCCAGCCGTATCCTGTAAAAGTACCACAACCGTATCCAGTAACCGTTGAGAAAAAAGTGCCTTATCCCGTCGAAGTAGAGAAAAAAGTTCCAGTACCAATTGAAGTGCGTGTTCCTCAAAAAGTAGAAGTGGAGAAACGTGTACCCGTGTATGTACCCAGGCCTTACCCTGTCGAAAAAAAAGTACCCTATCCAGTGAAAGTTCCGTATCCAGTTAGAGTACCTGTAAAAGTGCCCGTGAAGGTACCAGTGGAAGTGCCGATTGTCGTCCACAATCCCTATCAATTGTACGATGGCAATTCGTACAGTTCTCAGTTCACAGAGAATTACGTGACTGACAGTACACCTATAATTTCAAGTACACCCCATCATACGGTGACCGTGCACGGTAACACGGGTTTCCATGGATTCCAGTCTCGGTCCGACAATGAGGAGACAACGACCACGACGACCTTAAGTAGTTAGTTAACGAACTTTAGTAAGTAGAATATTCAAAGTGTAATGATGTTGTTAGTTGCACAGTTGTTAATATTCCCACTAGAATGTTTTGCCAAAGGAAACCTTTTTACAATAAATTATTGTGGTACGTGTGTGGAAATCTAAATGTAAGTGGAGTAAATGAATGGTGCTGTGATAAATGCATGTGTGTTATTTAACAATTTTACAATATTCACCATTTGAGATTCACATTTTTCGTACGACATGCTGGCCCGGAGGTTAAAACACCCGCTTCTCATGCATGAGGGCGTGGTTTCAGAAACCAGCAAGCATAAATGTGTTTTTCCAAAATTCGCCTTGAGCAAGCGTGGCAATTAATGCTCAGACCTTCTCCGTGAGGGAAGAGGCCTTTGGTCAGCAATGGGCACTTATAGGCTCATGATGTGATGCGATTACTCTTTTCTAAATCTATTGGGTTGGGTGAGTGGGTTTACTGTTGCGACAGGTGACAATGACACGAGAGGATGACGTGACGCAATGTTAATGTTTCGCTGCAACAGTAGCTCACAACAAATGACTGGGCTATTATAAAACAGTTGACATGACTTACACATGTTATTATTAATTTGGTACATTATTGTTATCATTATTGCAACAGTTTTGTAAGTATTATGACTTGTCCTTTAAACTTGAGTAGCTCAGTGTGTAAACATTGTAATTTGTAAAAGAATCTCTTTAATTTGGACCATTTTAATTGTTTCTGCACTTTTACTATGTTATTAGGGCAGGTGCATTTAGTATTCCTATTGAAAGTAATGTTCAGTTGTACTGCAGGAGAAAGAAAAGCAGTCTCAAATTTGTGGGATCTGCATCTGCCGCAAAATTAAGGGGTGGTTAGGTGGTACGGTGAATCCATATGAGTAACGTCTCGGTCCGTACACTCACGGTCAAAGGCAGAAAACCTTGTTATTTTAAGTAGAGTCCAGCTCACCTGTCGACCCCACTCGGCCCCACAGCGAATAAAGTGAGTAATCATCCATCGCGTTAAAAAAATATAATTCTCTTATATTACTTAACGCACTTTCCCTTCATATTCCCTTTTCACACAGACAATTCATCATTTCTTTGGCTATAGGTATTATCTACGTCTCTTCTTTCTCATCCATCGGCTTCCTGTAACTGTGTAACATATGATAGGTTTTTATAAATTAGTGTCATCAGTGCCTATAAAGTCGGTTACGACCTGCACCACTGAAGAACGCAAGGAGAAGGTCTCCTTCCTTCTTCCTTGCCGCCCGACGAGAACCAGACCCCAGCGGAAGGCGCGTGGAACGCTACGCGCGCCTCAAAGAACCAGTAGACTACCACAGTCGAGGCCTTACAGGGTTAATGTTCAGCCGGGGTTGCAGGGTAAGCACAATGAGGCAGCGCGGCCTCGGCCTAAAGCAGGAGAAGGAACGGGGGTGGTGGGTTAGTCAATAAGAGTCTGACACTCCCTCTCGCCTCACCATGTTCGGGAGAAGTCATTTGACGATTTCCCCTGACAACAAAAAGAAGAAGGTAAGTTCTTGGTACCTGTTTTAGCTAGTAAATCCATCAAGTTCAATGTGTGGTGCAGAGCTAGCGCTAAATTACACGCCGTTATGAGTCACTCACCTTTGCAGTACTGTAAACGTCAACATTTATCAATTCATTAATACTTACACGGTCGTTATCGTGATTTCACAATACAGTAAGTACGAAATATCCAAGCATTTCGTAGAAATTCATTAGATGTTAAAGAAAGAATTCGTATTCGTATGTATTAACTGCGTGTGGCATGTGCAAGTACTATCTATAACAAAACTGCTCAACAGTTTATCAATACAAAAAAATAAACTGGCCCCCTAGAAGGAAAAACCCTTTATAACTAATTATAACCCTATAACCATTGGTTGTAGATAAATAAAATAATACCTACCCATGTACGTAAAGTAAGTATTTACAAGGGTCATTAATCAAATTAGTGTTTTGAGCACTAAGATTAATTACGGAAAAGGAAGTGAAGTGTTAATCGAAAGTGAGTTCACACCGTTCACAGTTGAGTTAGCGCGCGAAAACATAAACGTCACATAGGTACTTAATGGGTTCATTCAATAGAACGTAATATGGCCAATGAAAATGAAAACAAGATTACTGTAAAAAATCTATACTGTAATCTATCAATCATACAATCATTGTATATCGAATTGTAATTGACAGCTTTAATTATAGATACATATTGTACCCCATAAATGAGTAGATTAATAAAATTATACTTAATATTGAAACTGATAATGCGATAAATCTCCTGATTTCTTTATCGTTGTGAGTCGTATGGTATTAGCTATAAGTTGATGATTTACATGTAAGAACTTGCTTAAAAGCTCGTACCATACCTTTACATCTAGAGAGTAGGTAGGTACCTATTAAGGTGTTTGCTATTTTGCTCCAGTTTGCTTCCGTTTATACTTACTTAGGTATTTCTTTAATATTTGTAAGTCAATAGCCTGCATCCTGATACCCATGTATCCTGATATGTACTTTCTAAATAAAATATACCACCTGTTTAAAACCTAAATAACTGCACGGTTGCAACGTGTTGCGGGTTCGATTCCCGCACGGAACAACTCTTAGTGTAATCCATAAACTGTTGTTCCGGGTCTGGGTGTCATGTGTACCTATGTAAAATTGTAGTTATGTTTGTAACCGTACCCATGCCACAGGAGAAAATCCTAGTGTATATAATCCTAGGGCAACGTTTAAAAACAAAGAGTTGAATGCGAAGAGCGAACTTAATTAGAGTTAAGCGTTGCTTCCTGATACTCAGTGATTATTGTATTTTTTATCTATGCAACGGCAAACATTGCGTGTAGATCGCTTCGGAAACAGTAAAACGGAACAGTAACGATCGCATTTTCCAGTCAATTCATAATTCTAGCGGCAATACATGTATGTAAATGTTATAAATTATAAATAGCGTGTTAACTAATTTCGTGACAAGAAATATTTACCGCCGTCGGTCCGTGTTGACCGAAAGTAGCAGCTTCTTCATTCGTGCGTAGTTTAGTTTACAATAGAATGGAAAGTGTACCAGGTACATTCTAATTCCGGTTTGTTTTTTATTATAATTGAAGTGTAAATATGATAAGGAAAGAGAGAAATTAAATGTAGGTATTAGGTTCTTTACTTTGGATTCACCATTGGTTCAGGGCAATGTGCTTCTGGTTCGATTCAAGGACTTCTGAACCACTACAAAGGGGCATACCTAGATATCCCTAGTGCCCAGTTCAGGGCTGAAATATAAGCTGGGGTTGCGGGTGCAAGCACAATAATTTACCGCAGCCTCGGCCCAGAGCAGAAGGAACAGGGTGGTTTTTAGTCAGTAAGTCTGAAGCTCCCTCTCGCCCCGTGCAGGGCAAGAAAAGTCATTTCATCACTAGAACCCTCAAAAAATGGGTAGAACACTAAATAGAATGTAATCAATCATAATTTGCAAGAATACCTAGTCCATCGTTTCTTTCAGCTAGAAATCAGTAGACATTTTGCACAGGAATTATAAAAAAAAAATAGGTAAGTCCTCCACTGAACTACAGAACAGTTTGCCCACCTCTTTGTTTATAAATTAATACAATAAAAAATATAGTTTTAAAACATTTTATTTAAAAACGCAATCAACTAAGAAAAAAAGAGTACAGTAATATCTCATCAGTATTACAGTTTCATTTTTATAAAAATTAACAAATAATAGTTTCTATTAGATTTTTTTTTCTATTAGATAAATGCATTATCAGTTATTTAATGCAATAAATATATACCGAGAAATCTTCCATCATCCATCACTTTGCCACATTTTAAAAAGTAATAGTGTTGTATAGCATTTCAATCAATAATGTATTTCTTATAATTTAATATAGCAAAAGGCTCTTAATATTATTTCTTATTGCAAAAATATTAAATGTTAATTAATTATTCATAATTTATTTGACTTTCACAAACTGCCATTCTAGTTCATAAACGCCAACTGAAGTTTGGTTTTTCTCATCATAATCCACCCATTCTTTTTCTGATAAGTCCACATCTTCAAATGTTTTACCTAAAATATATAAATAAATAGACATAACCAATTAATATGATATCAAAGTGACAAAAACAACAGAAAATTGAAATGACATTTAAAAGGAGCAATATGTAGAGTTTTGTTGCCTTTTGCTATTGAAGTTGCCTTACATAATAATTATAACTGGGGATAACACTACAGCTCATGTCCTAATGTGTTTTTTTTATTGTAACTTTTGTGAGACATACTAAATTGCTTTTCTCAGTTTTAATGCTTATATAAAGCATCAACTGAGAAAAGCCTTACTAGTTTCAAGTCACAATGGGACTGATTCAGGACCAGCTAGTAGAGTGGCCTCCTTGTAGAGCTTCTCTCAGTTAATAATTATGTGAGTAATTTATTATTTTCTATAGATAATTATTATTTCAACATCCTTATGTGTGTGAGAGCTATAGGTACTTGAAAAATTTATATAAACACACACATAAACACAATTTATATAACATAATGAAAAAAAATATTATTTATGATTTGAAGAAAATATGTACATTGGCACTGGCATATTATGCCTCTTTAATGAGCTGTCATCTAATGCCAAACCACAATGTTAATAGTGTTGTCAATCTACGGTTAACATCCATTCTCATACTAAATTAAGACCATTTCTCATTAGTGTAGCCCGAACTTAATAGAAGTGACTTCCATCAGGATTGCAAGCATCAAATATTCAATTTACTCAGAGCTTTCACTAGTTTAGAGTTTTTCTTATTAGTTTTTCAGTACTGCACAGGACTTATGTGTCTTGTGACCTAAGAAATGACTTACCATCATCTTCTGCTACTGCCACCCATCCAGACTTGGGTTGGAAGTCCACAGGTTCTACACCCCGACAGTCAAATGTGACTATAGTTTTAAATTTGCCCTCGTCTTGGCTTGTTAGCTGACCTGAATGAAAATATACCAGTGGATAAGAAAGGAAGTATTGATCAAGTAAAACTAAGACATTTAATTTTTAAATATCTCAAGCAAATATATTTAGTTTATTATCATTATAAGAAAGGTATTGATTTAGCTTAGAGTGTGTACCTGTACCAAATATGAGTAGTTCTTATACTACTACAAGAATGTATATAAAGTAAATGGGTCGAATAACAGACAACAATCATATTTTACACGTAAATATAAACAATAAAGGTTATCGTAGAAAAAAATAAAGGTTACCTATATTTCAAGATAATTCAAGAACTTACCATTGCTGCCTTCAATAACATCTATGCTATTCTCTCTGGAACATAGTTTGCATTTTATCAACAAGTTAGTTTCTGATCTGTTATGCTTTTGCGCTATTTTCTCAGCTTCTGTAAGGTCGTGGAACTTCTCAGTCACTTCGCCGCAACTTCCACACTTCAGTTTTAAGAACCATTGATAGTATGGATGATTCGTATATAGCTTTTCGATGCATTCTAAGGTTGCTTTGATTTGGAGAGCTATTTTAACCATCTTTTCAGTGTATTTTCGCCAAGAAAAGAGAAAATACAACAGACTTCGAACTTCGAATAGAATTTACTTCTATACGTCAATCAGTGGGTCGACACTTCATCAACGTCTGATCTATCAATGTCAAAGTTTATAACAAGCCTTTTTGCACACCTATAACGTAAATAAATATTGAGAGACAATTTTGATTATATTTTTATTTGTACAGAATTTTCAATTTTTCTAAGGTACTATATAGTTTGATTACTCAATAACTTTACTTTATACATTTTATGGATCTTTATCAAATTTTAAGAAGTGATGCATCCGATTGTTTGTTTCTTAACATGCACTATCATTTATCAATCGCTGCGGGCGATTTTATGGGTGATTGAATTAGGTAGTCTGATTCTGTAATTATTATTTATTTACTAAGAAATAATCTATTGATATATAAAAAGCAATTTTATAAGACAGTAGATAGATAGTGTATGTAGGTTTAGGTATTATTACTTTACTCTATGACGTAGGTAACTGGATAGGGTAGTGTAGATAGTCAAATTGAGCCAAGCCGAGGGTAAAAGCTATTAGATAAATAAAAAAAAACTGGTATTTTGGGTTGATGATTTATTATTTCACATGAGAATAAATACGGTAGATATGCTATGGGCACTAGCACGGAAACTACTATAGCTCATCATAATAAATTGGATATAATATACCGAGAAACATATACTGAACCATCTCATTTTTCAATCATTAAATACAATATAGTGCACGTTAGCACTTATCAGTCCCTCCCACTTTCAATACTGGGCCCCTATCCATATGTTAATAAATAACAGATTATAAAACATTGGTTCGAACTTCAAGTATCTAAATCTCTCGTCTCTCAGAGACATGTCGGTAAGAAATAATTTGCAAGCAACTTCTTATAAGTTCATATTTAAGAGAAACTAGAACTATTAGCATTTATTTGACGCAATTATTTCAAGAATGGTTGTGGTGTAGGTGTACTATTTAAAATAGTTTTTAGACTTTTATAACTGCTACTCTATCCAATCCATAGTTATGATACGGTAAAACGGGGTGAATAGATACACACATATATATTGGCGAATTTTTCAAGTATCAATTCATTCCTCTTCTGTGCCTATTCACCCCGTTTTACGGCGGTTAGCTAAGCTAGAAGTATTTTTTTCTGGATTTTTAATATTTATCCGCGAGACATGGGTACAATCCTGATGTTGTTGCCTTGTGTGTCTGTGTGCAGTGTGAGACCCATCTCTTGGAGAACTTCGTTGTCTACTGGAGCTTGAAGCGTTACCTTCGATATCACCTCCTGAAACAAATGTAAAAAGTGGTTATAGAAAGTGTATAGATACTATAAGCATGACAATTTTGTCAGTTTTTAAGTTAGATACCAAACTTTTTATGGGTAAATATGAATCTTATTATTTATGAAATTTTGTGGTGATTGAAGCATATGTACATTGCTTTATGACGAATTAAATACCTTATCATGATGTGTGAAGCTGTTCTCGAGTTATAAACGAGGCAACTATCACACACAATAGTACTTTGATTTAAATAGATGATATGATGAATAGATAAAATAATGAAAAAATACCGAACCTGATTTTCCGGGCAGTTCTCGCAAAGGTTACGAACGGCGAAGATAACCCACTGCATTATTACTGTTTAATTTATAAGGAACATCATTATGTGTTCATTATATATTATTTAGGGTCACTTTCAAGGAACAAGAAGCATGGTGTAGGTACCTAATGTTACCAGCAAAGTAACTTCTAATAAGTTTGTAAGTACAGGTGTATGTTTGTTACTCTTTCTAAAAAAAAAAGAATTTAGATATAGTCTGGAACACCTTATACCAAGGTATAAACCTTATATAAGATTAAACATAGATTGCCTTTCATAGTGTTATCACCAATTTAATTATAAGAATTTAAAAACCATAATATATACTGACTGTCTATTAACGGCAGAATGTATATAATAACTTGACTGGATTATCGCTAGATCGAGCTAAGATTACTTACTACATACAAACTTTATTAGAAGTAGTCACAGAAATTGGTTATCAATTTCGATTAAGTCGTTATAAAAGGATACAAGGATTACGAGCGTCGATGTTACAGCAATCTAGGAGCACTGGTATAACTTCTAGCTCACGGATCTGAAAATAGAACATACATTAAGAGTGACGGTAAAGTACACCAACCTTCTTCAGCCAGTCCAATTTCTTCAATAGATTTTGAACTTTTTGTAATTAACCAATATAGTCGAAAATAGCTTGACGATTACAGTGGATTGATCGGCTGCGACTAACAATATTGAACTCACCAATTTCTTGTTCTCTTGATTCTTCCAGCAAAGATTAGCCAGGGTCCGTACAAGAGCTGCCTTGAAGCCAAAAGCTACATGACGTTCAACAGTTTCTACACAGGTTATTGCTTTCTTCGGAGTCGTCATGTCGATTGCGCCTAGCCTGCAATATTAGACATAAAGTAGTTTTAAAACTACTCTGATATGAATATATATAATATTTATAGAAAAGATATAAATAACTACTAACGTCTATTTTAAAAAATTATTGCTTTTAAGGATCCTACCTCGTTTTCGCACCCTCAGGCGAGTCAATCTTTACTGATGGCACCTTATTCGTCGGAGCATCGTCAGCAATTTTCACTTCTTTGGCTGGTTCGCTCTTTTTCTCAGCATTAGCTGTATCACCTCGGGTTTTCTCAGATGAAATGCCAAGAATTTTCTGTAGCTGCTCACTAAGATCGAAATCCGTCGAGAGATTCTGACTCTTCTTTACTTCCTTCGGAGTGTCCGGAGACTGTTTCTGTGAATCCGAATCTGGTAAATTCTCCGCTAACGGTGGGGATATTTCGCTCGGGGACGCCTTCACCTCGCTTTTCAATTCTTCTTTTGAAATGTGAATTTCTGTTGGGGGATCGTTTGGCGAGCTATCTTGAGATTCAGTTCTGCTTGTGGGCTGAAAACTATCAAACCTAGGCTGTAATGCTGCTGGAATCATTTCGGCTATGGTATTCATACTGCCGTTAGGTGACGCTGCGTCCATGATTAAAGGAGGTTCGTTGTCGTCACCAATGTCGATTTTATGTTCTAAACTAATTCTTCTCATAGGCAGAGATATGCGATCATCGGCTTTGGGAACCGAACTACTTCTTTTGTAGGCAACTTTCGAAAGATCTGCATCAATTTTTATATTAGAATTGGAATTGCTCCTCCCGTTTTTCGTTTCTGGAAATCCGTCTGTGAATTTCATTGATTGGATGTTGTCTACGGCGTCAAACTTCTCCATGTACGAAGGGTTCTCGTTACATTCGAAATATTGCTCGCTGCTCTCTGATTCCGTGCATTCCGATGTAGTTTCGTTGCATGATAGCATGTTGTCGGCCGAATCGTTTTTAGTTAGGGGATCTGAAAATTTTGGCAACAGATTAAGCAACAATGGATTGTTTATTGCAAACATAATTTCATGACAAGACTTAAAATAAGTCGTTAAATACAGACTGCATCGGAACTTAAGAATAAAAATGTTGTCTTGAAAATAAAAACATTATTATATTATGGCGTTTCTGTGGACCCTTTTACCTGCAACCACATACCAAAAAAACGGGTAACTAATTAGCGGCAATTTTTACATTCTACAAGATAGATACCTAATGACATGGCACTCCATTATATCAATATTCCGTGTGCGTAACGCCAACATCGATTAGTTTCTATAATTTATTGAAGGCGGCGTTTGTGGAGCCATGATTTGCAATTACACGGTAAGTTGGTTGCCCAGTATCATCATTAGAACCGTGAAGCAATACAATTTTAATGTTTATTTCACACATTTAATTTCTTTACATATTATATAGGTTGAATCATAGAAGTTATCAAAAAAAGTCAAAAAAGTCAAAAATCATTTATTCCAATTAGACCTTTACAGGCACTTTTGAACGTCAAACAAAATTAAAAAAAATAGTGTCAGTCTGTCGGTCAGTCCTCTTAGTGAAGCTATCTATTATTATAACTAGCTAATATCGGGCGGCTTCACCCGCTGCTCTGCTCCTACAGATCGCGGTGTGATGTTTTATAGCCTATAGCTTTCCTCGATATATTTACCAATAAACACAAAAATAATTGTTTAATTCGAACCGGTAGTTCCAGAGGTTAGCGCATTCAAACAAACAAAAAAATTCTACAGTTTTATAATATTATAAGTAAAGATAGTAAAGATCTAAACAATATATTTTTTTTTTTTTATGTGATAGAGCGGCCAACGGGCAAGCTCATCACGCATCACCAATATGGTAGTTTCCAACTAGTCAAATTCAATACTTTTAACCAAACGTCAAAAACGATACTTTTCTATAAAATCTGTATGAAATAATGAGTTATGACGTCATAATTTTATTTACGTCAAATAGATTACTTATTACTTAAAAATTTGTTAAAAAAATATCTAAAACTTAGTGTATCGATCGATCGATGAATGAAAGTATTTTTTTTTTCAATATTTTATTGTATTAAAACGTCGAATTAACTTATTTTTGACCTAGGAAACTAGCCAATTGGCGCTGCCCATGGAGCCAAAGAATTACAAGACCATTGTATCGTAGGGAAAGATGGGGGAGGGTAGTAGAGAGTATAGAGAGATGATATCAAGTATATTTGTATTTTTTTTCCTTTTCATTGAATTGAAAAGACGAAATAATTTATCACAATAATTGACCAGGTCTAGGTCTTAATTTACAAATAAAAGTTGCGGAATGTCTTACAATATTTAAGACGAATTTAGGATTTGTCAGTAACTGCCCTAGTCTGACTAAGGACATTTAATAATAAGTTTAGTTTATTAGTAAATCATTATTAATGTATACACAAACTAAACTTATTTAAGCTATTTAAGAACTAATTACTCAGTTATAAACAGTTGATAAACTGTAGGTATAAACAGTTTTGGAAGTTTGAACTAGTTCTTTAAAATCAAAAACGTGGGAGAGCCATGCTTCGGCACCACGGAGTAAGAACAAAGAGGAGATGTCATAATTAGATTTCCCTAAGAAACACCGCGTGATATTTTGCGGGGTGAGGGGGTATTAGACTCCGCCCATTTTTTATTTGCCATCTGCCGGTCTATAGCAATACTACTCGCTCATTCAATTTACTTCTTTTTGTAGTTATGTAACTATTTCACAATAGATGTCACTAACGCAACAGGGTCGTACTTAGAATTTACCGGGGAGTTGTTTTAAAAAGTTTTTTGTAAATACATTTACATTTAGGTACATTTTTGTAAATGATTTTCCCCTCACAAAAAAAAACATGTACCGGTGGCGCAATGCCGTACGTCTGGTGGTCCGATGATGGAACGGGCTAGGCGGAAAAATATTCGGTAAAATGCGGTCATTTTACCGAATATTTTTCCGCCTAGCCCTATCTACGGATAAGCCTATTTACGGATCGGTATCCGTCATCACCAATCCAAACTAATATTATAAATGCGAAAGTAACTCTGTCTGTCTTTTCTTCACGCCTAAACTACTGAACCTATTTGAGTGAAATTTGGTACAGACATAGTTTGAAACTCGAGAAAGGACATAGGATAGTTTTTAAACCCAAAATCTACAGGAGTCACTATTCCACGCGAACAAAGTCGCGGGCAAAAGCTAGTTTCTTATAATTGTTTTGAAAACTCATGGGCAGTTGCATCATTACGTAGCTGAATACGCATTATTACTAAAGTTCAGTGTCCATTTTCGTATATATCTCCAAATAACTGATGACTTCAAACAGGTTTTTCATCAGCAGGAGTTGATCGAGAAATGACAGGCAATGTTTGACGAAAGACCCCTGACAGCAATATCAGAGCACCACGAAAAACCTGTTGAGTACCGCGTAAATTTAGCATGGTTCGATTAAATGCTTCTATTGATTTTTTATTCGCCATTGTATGAGTGTATCCCATAAAATAATTGACGTTAGTTGCAAAACTTTTGCCATAGCAGAATTTCTCGAAATATTACAAGTTGCACCCTGTACATTCAATAGCAATGCTAATGAAGAGTGTGCGGTCCTACCACCTTCTAATAATGTAACAACAATCGTCCTAATTTGCATTACGTGTTCGCCGGTTTTACCCCAACAATATTTTGGATCATAAAAACACAAAACAATCACTCAACAATATTTTGGAACAATAACGAACATTACATCTAATTAACTAGTGGTATGTTAAATGCTATTCCAAAGTTAATAATACCGCCAGATTCTTCATCATGATTCATGATCAGATCAGATTCATGTGCGGTGAGGTGCGCTAAATTTGAGTGATTCGCGACTTAAATAAATCAACGATATAAACCTTAAAAAGTAATTGACTCCTAATTACTGCCCTGTCTTTATTTATGTTTTACTACTTGACAATAGATGGCTGTCTGTTTATAAAATGATATAAAAGTTACATAAATAATATTTTGGCGATTAAAGGATCTTTAGGAATGCATGTCGATTAAATTACTATACAAACGATCATTAAAATATACTAATACTGAACTATGCGTACCTATAAAAATTGTGTTTATATGATACAAAGTGTCGACATCTAGTGTCGCGTAGATTGATAGTTGGAAACGCTGACAATAAGAGGCTTTGCTAGAAATATTTTAATAAATGACGAATAAAATAACTTATACATGAAAATTGATGCCATCCATAGCACCGTAACGTTTATCATAGTATTTTTTACAAGATAAAACACAAGACTTCATTTTGTTTTCTTCTGTCACGAGTAAAATGAATATTTTATAGGAATTGTGCACAGGACGAACGACCACATTACACTGACGTAAGCCACGCCCACATTGATGACGTGAGGGCCGACTTGTGTCACAGGTCCGAGTTGTTTAGGCCGTCTCCTCTTTGTTCTTACTCCGTGTTCGGCACGAATGGGTCGGCTCGACTGGAGTGATACCACGGCCTCACAGAAAACCGGCGTGAAACAACCCCAGCGTTGTGTTTCGCCGTGTGAGTGAGGTTACCGGAGGCCCAATCCTTCCCCTTCCCGGACCCTTCCCCAATCCCTAAATCTCCAAATCCCTAATCCCTTAAATGTCGGCAACGCACTTGTAACTCCTCCGTTGCGGGTGTCCATGGGCGGCGCTGATTGCTTACCATCAGGTAATAAGCCTGCTCGTTTGCCGACTTATTACATAAAAAAAAAACACTATTTCCTTAGAATAGAATAGGACAACCAATTGAATTTTTACGAAAAAAATACTTTTTGGAATTGACACACATTGATACATAGGTAATACTTACTCTCACAAGGACTGGAGACTTGTAGATTAGATAAATGTTCATTTTCGTCATCAATAAACGTCCTTCCTGTAGCTTCATACAATTTATTCAATGATGAAAAGAAATTACTGCTCTCTTTACCCAACTTATGAATTGCTCGAAGGAGAACTGAAAAATAAAGTGAAATTGTTAAAAAACATGCCTGAGTCAAAAGTTCCTCATGGATAGGGCAGCTCTATAGTAAGCTGCGTCATTGTTTACCATTAGGTAAGAATAGCCGAATGTTGAGTCAGACACAAATTAAAAAAAGACATTTATCCTACTTAACAAGAGTTATGTTATGAGCCCATGTTATAATAGACAAACCTATTTGCTACACAGTATAGCCAATAAGTTTGTCTATTATACAGTCTCTATTACATTGTCTATTATATACTGTATAGCAAACAGGTTTGTGTATTGTAACTACAGGAAGATTTGTTACTTGTAAAATGTTCATCAAACATTAAGATTTATTTTTAAATCCTTGTAACTTGAAAAGATTGCATGACTTGCCCTATTTTCTATTTCTGGCTTTACATTGATTTTTGAGACACCAGTATTATATACTACACTTTTTACTTGCTAGTCCAACTTGCAAAATTAGTTTAGAACATGAAGGTAAAGAACAGTTAGTTATAATATTGTAAAATTGAAGAGCATCAAAGTGTACTTGAGCCATCTAAATTAGAATAAGCGTTTTTACCTACTGTTTAGCACCTATCTAATGTAGTGTGATATATTATAGACCTCAATTCAAAATGATTTCCTTAAAAGAAAAAAAAAAGAAAAATGTAACATGAAAACTTACATGCACAATTAATGAATAAAGAACTGTCTGATTGTAAACAGTCCATATAAGTATCCATACTGGATGCAGTGGCTATAATCTCCAACAAAAACACCACCTCCTGAGGCTCTATGGAATTAACATACTTATCAACCGTCTTCAATATACAGTCTGATTTACTCTTAAATTCATGTGCCATAAACTTTACAAAGTTTACAGATACATTAATATCTTGAGACTCTGTGGACATTAATATATTATAAGCCAGGTTCAACACCAACATCCGACATTCAGGATCCAATTTTGAATATAACTTCTCTATGTATGTATTCTCAACACCAATTAAATATTCTATAATTAAATGTGGGTATTCAGTGTTGCCATTACTATACATGTAAGCTAGAGAATTCAACAACATCACATCATCTGGCAACACATTTGGCTGGCCTAGCAATATGTTATAAACAATCATGGCGGCCGCTGTAGCAATTTTATCATTGGATCCTACTAGACTGTTCATGATATTGGCATCAAATTTATTCCAAATCATGATTTGATTAAAGGGATTGTTCACAACTAAGTTTCCTAAAGTTTGCATAAGTACTGTCATGCATGATTCAAATTTCTTTTGTAGTTCTTCATTCACAAAATCAACACTTGGATGTTGATATTCTGTGGCTAATATAAGCATAGAGTCTAGAATAGAGAGTTCTTTAGAGATGTAAGTTTGCATTTTAGTTCCTGCTGCAGCACAGGAACGAACCAAGCGGAGACACTGTTCTGCAACTGCTAGAGTGCTTCTATTGTATGAAGCTTGTTCAACATCTAGTCGCATTATGTGAAGAACCTCTGCTATGAGCCGTAACGTATATTCCGATGCCTTTTTCCTGAAATATAAAATTTATAAAACGTGTTATCTTAGGCGAAATAAGTAAAGAGGTGATAATGAAAATAACCAACTTTTATTTTATTAAGTGATCCAAGTGAGTGGATATAGGTTTTAAATTCGAATAACTGGACTAATCCTGTAACGCGGTTATGTTTTTGGTGTTTCTGTATTCCTATAGTAAGTAAGTAAGTAGACTTACTAAAAGTATTGTATGTAGAATGGTGTAAAAGGTTATAAGTACAATACTGTATATTCCACTGTATATATATCAGTACAATATTAATTACTTACGGCCGTAAACGTCCAGTCTCGGCATCTCTGGAAAGTTGTGCCTCGGCACGTAACATTTCCTCCACAGCATCCCATTCTCCAGTTTCTAATTGAAAATTTATTAATTTAGCGTCCAGCAATATCTCTTCTGCAAACCAAACGCTTTTATCGCGAGACATTTTCGATGAATTCAACAAAATTCAATAAACTTATACAAATCTACGCAAAAAGTATGACATATTTTGACAGATAGTCACATTCGGTCCGAATGACATATGACAATTGACATGCATTTGATTGACAGAATGGACAAAGACAATGATTGCTTCGTTTAGAAATAAAAAATATGACTACAATAATGGTTTTATTATTAAAATATTCTAAAAAACAATAATGTATTGTTTTTAAAATTCAATATGGTAATAACTATAACTTTAATATCAGTAGAGTGTCTGTAATTATCTCTAAATTTTATCCTTTCAATCGTGGTAATTCTACACACAATAGAAGAACAATAGGTGAGCTGGAGTTCGCTTGGGGTTTGATAAATTAAAGAACACAATATTCAGCCATTTAACTATTTAGAAAATTTAACTATTTATTTATACTATTTAGAAAACTCATTCACTTTGTTCCATTTGGTAGAGTTAAGTTATTGACTTTCTAAATTGTTAAATTAACTGTGAAGTCACATGTGTGACTTAACTGTAACTCTACTTATATGTAACTTAACTACTACTAATATTAATCATTTTTATTGTATTTAAAAATATATTTTGAAAACCTTATCAATCCCCACGAATGAGTAGAAATAATAAGATTTACATGACCACCCTGAGAGGTGATAGTCGCTTGCTCCCGCCCCCGCTTCACCGTCCGGTCGAACGAAGAAACGGCGAGAATGGCATTTGTGCGTGAAATTGTATCAGTTTTTATGTGAACAAGTGGATATTTCTCACAGGAGCAGCTTCACCTTCCGACCTTTAGTTCAGTGGTGTAATTATCCCTTTGGAGTGTTGTATTATGTGCAGTTTTAGAGAGTTTTGTGTCAAAGAATTTTAGTGTGACTGGTTCGGGGTGGTATCCCGTGGATTTTGTTTCATTGTGCTTAGCAATAATGGTCCGCCTTCCCGCTAACATCGTTGGAATTTAAAACATTCGGTGAGTCATCAAGATTTTGAGTTTAACGTAAGATATAATCAGGTAAAGCGAGTAAAACCTACATGTCTGTCTAAAAATACTCAGTAAACTAGCATTGTAGATAAGTTCTATTCGGTGTCGTGTTTGTGAGGCTATTTATAATCAAATTTATTTGTTTTCTACACACTTCCGTGTATTCCATGGAATTCAAAACATGAATTTCGTAATAGTTACTTTCCTATTTTTAACAAACCGCCACTTAGCAACATGCTTTCGTAATGAAATCCGTGACTAAAAGATCGGTAACATCTTTACCTTTTAGTAAAAAACATATCAAACATTTGCTTTTGTACTTATTTCAGCATATCAGACAGGATCTTGTCTTGTAAATGCATATTTATGAAAGAACAATTCAATATTTTCTGACACATTACCATTACAAACCAAACAGGCATTTGCAGTAATCAAATGACTTTGAATCATGTTTTTATAAACAAAAATATTCAATGTATGAAGTTTATTAAAAGTTCTTATCAAACTGTTATCACTTTATCTCATACCTTTCAAGATATCAGTAGATAGGTACAATGTATTAATAATTATAATTTTCACTAAAAGTAATTGATGACAATTGCATATACCTATATCTATATGTGCTTTTATAGTTAGGGACCTGACAAAAAGTGTTTTCTCTAGATTAGGCACCAAAAAGTTTTAATAAAAATCTAGAGTCAAGTAAACTTTCATAAAGGGACACTACTTAAGTTGTTATTTGTGTGAGTAATATATTACTCAGCATTTAGTAGCTTCCAGAAAATAATGTTCTGTTACATTTATTTGAATAGTTATGTTTAAAAAATTAAACACAACAAATAACATACTACAACTTTGAAAATATAATACTTAACTATACTTAGGCAGCTGCAATCATATAAGTAGTCAATATTAACTGTATCCAGTTGCTTTAATTTTTTTATTGTCTCACCTTTTCCCTGCAACATCATCATCATCAGCCTATTTCTGTCCATTACTGGGCACAGGCCTCTCCAATTGCACACTGCTAAGCTTCATTTAATGCCATACAGTGTACACCTATTTCAAACAATTAATGAGTCTCATAAAACAAGGGATGAGCCTATACATATACTATATACAGGGAACAATAGCAAACTCCATGCTACAAACATTTCTGGATAAACTGGAAAAATCCTAATAATACTTTGTCCAACTCAGAATTGAGTCTTAGACCTCTTGATTGGCAGTTGCACTTTCACTCGTCCAAAGAGGCAGTTCAATCCAACAAGATACTCAGGTGCTGCCTCATTTTAACAATAACATATTTCAAGAATAGCAATGTTAATAACTTAGTTAGTCTATTTGTAAACAATTAAAAACTCTTTGCAGAAATTGTAGCCAGAACAATCATCATAATACATGCAAACAGTTGATTAATAATTTGTGTACATTGTATATTTTATTGTTCTTTTATAACTTGTTGTAAGCCAGTATTCTTGTTGTTATAAGAATTAACTATCACTCCTTATTTAAGTAAAACAATGGATGTTTGTTTTCAGTTTTAGCATATTAATTTTAGATTGCACTTATAATTTGTTTCATCTTAATTAGGCTGAAAACAAACCTTTGACAGGAAAAACTCCTAGAGTGAGTGTGAATTAAAAAAAAAACATTACTGGTTAAAACTTTGAGGGGATAGAATAAAATAAATATTAAGGCCTGGATTGGCACAGAGTAAGTTCTAGTCCAATTGGCTGATCACAATATAAAGCATAGGTCCTCTCCTAAGCTTATTTTGTGTACTACCCACTTAATATCCACGTCAACAAATATATGTTGTTAATATGAAATGGGAAAGTTAGTACTACCCACTTAAATTCAAGAATAAATGTTTATTTTAGTAATTTAAAAACAATTGGGTGTGTATCTAATGATATAAAAAATCACCTCACTAATGTAACCGTCTACAATACCTCTGTTTTTTATGCTCTTACAACTCTCCTCAAGGAGAGCTTTGCCTACAAGCAGCCGTTATCATTTACTTTGGGAAAGTCTAGAATGAAAAGACAAACCTGGTGCAACCAAAACTACAATAATTACATAATATGTAATGTAGAAGCTTTGCAAACTGCAAATTTAAAAGATTAAAAAAGATTTCTGTTGATTTTTTGATTATGGCTGTTATTTAAAACCAATTAGCATTTTGTAACTTTATTGAATGGGCACATGTTAAAGACAAGTTCTGTTTGAATGGTGTAATTCATTGAAAGTGCAGTGAAAAGGCAACAGGTGCAGATTTCCAAGGAAACTCCATTGTTATGAAAATTACAAAGAAGTATTCAATCTCCACTGTGCATTCACACTGGCCTTATTTAAAAGGCGGCATAATTTATCAATTGGCTTGATAACATACTCAATTAGCTCTAACTACACAGTTTATTTAGCATTTAGCTAGTATCTAACTGGCATATTTCTAGAGAATTCATTTAGCCAATATTTAATTTTGCATGTTTGATTTAAAATAAGTACTTTAGTATTATGTGATTTACTTTTTGACTTTTTATAACAAAGATAATTATGTAGAATGACAGTCTTCATAATGTGTTTAAGTAAATTAATTAATTACACAATCTTTTAGCAAAATGTTTTTTTTCTGATTTGTTAGTCAGAGGAGCTCACTACCTATAAATTGTAACTCTCCTGTCTCATGTGTTACGTAACAACTTAATATAGGTACTATATACATAAAAATATCAAAGAAGTTTATAAGAAAAAAATGCTTTTTGAAATAGCTATGAATGATTTATTTATATTTTTTCCCTATTGTCATAATGTTAATGATTTTATAATGTTTAACTTTTAAAAACTGATTATATTTTAAATTGATAGATATGGTCACTTACATATACTTGATTTTATTTGCTTTGTCTAATAGCCATAAACACTCCAAATGGAACTGGAATACTTATATTCCATGCTTATGGCAATCACTTTTCAGGTCGTGTTTTAGTTTCCTTTTTCAGTTTGATGAAATTGGACTATCTGTACATCATAAACTGAACTTGTTCCTTTCAATAGTTACAGATTAGACTTTGATAAACATTTGAACAACTGCCTCATTGAAGATTAATGTGACATCTTGAATATCTAAGCCAAAAGTGCCCATATAAAATGTAATACAAACTTTTTCAGTGATCTTATTACCATCCAGCGTCAATCGCTTTACGACAAAATCATTAAGTACTGAAATTTTTCTTTCTCTGAAAAACCGAAAATAATCTTATAAAACTTGATTTTAATTCATAAACTTAATACAGTACCCTGCAATGTAAATTGCACAAAGGGTGATCCTTTGAAATTAATTTGGCCAAGTCGCCCCATATACTATGCTCGTAATTATGAGCCTACTGTTTATCTATGAATGTCTAAAAGTAAACATATTATAAATTACCACCTAATTTATTGTATTGCAAAAGAATACCCTTTACAGATTTGCAATATTTATTGGTGTACAGTGTAATAAGTATAGAGTGTTATAAAATAATAATTGTTTTTATTTTGATTCCAGTGCCCAACCGGCATGGATGAGGGTTTACTCAACGACCTTCTCGAGTGCTCCGTTTGTTTGGAGCGACTCGACACTTCTTCCCGTGTCCTACCATGCCAGCATACCTTCTGTCTCAAGTGTTTGAAGGTCAGTATTATACATGTTATTTAATTCATGAAACCTCAAGCGAACGCCGCCGTTCACGAACCAATTGTATCTTGAATTACCACGATTGAAAAGTTCACTTAAGCAGAAGGTGACGGAACCTGAGCTAACTACTAATCGAAACGTCGTTCGCTATGATAACCCTTTGACCGCATCCTTTCAGGTCTTTTATTTACAATTATGAATTAAATATAAGTGGGTACGTATAGGACTGCTCTGGCGCCAATATTCTGGTAACTTTGTTATGTAAACAAAAGCATGTGTACTTAAATGTTTTCTTGCCGTGTGGTAATACAAAAATCAAATTCGGCCAACAAATTAACATCGCAGTACTTAGCAAGACAATAATACGCCCAAGTGCTTATTTTTCAATGGTTAGACAAAAGTAATTTCGGGAATAATTATAATGCTGTCTCGTCATAATGTTTGTATAAGACAGTGATAGCAACTATTTTATTCCTCAGATAACATTTATCTGAATATTGAAAAATCAGCCCTAAATAAAATGGAATAGTTTTTTTTACATCTACCTCATAATTTTTCGCTCAACCGACATATTGATGCAATTGGAATAATAAATATCTGCTAGTACAGAAACCTAGAGATTAGGTTCTTAGTCTCAGTTTTCTAATACTTTTATCCAAATGTCAATAATAAAATTATATGAAATTTGTATAAAACTCGAAATTATGACGTCATAGTACATATATTTGGGTCAAATAAATTACTTATTTTTTTTTTAAATTACCTAAAAGTTGTATAAATAAAAGTATAGTTATTTAACAATATTATATTGTATTGAAACGTGGAATTAATTTATTTTTGATCTAGGAAACTACTAAATTGTAACTTATTTATACTCAACAAGTGTCGTACCATTCTATTTACCAATCTCCTCAAAATATTGTAACCCTCCTTGATTTAATCAAGGAGGTTAATATACTGTATAGAATGATACGACACTTGTTGAGTATAAATAAGTTACAATTTAGTAATCGTAGTTAAGTAGTCCACAAAAGTTCCAACGGGAGCTCTAGTCTATATTATATGAGATTTAGAAATCTTTACATTCTTAAAGCTTGTAATCTTCATCAGTTTTTGACAAAAACATTTCATTCTGATTAGTTTTCTTACCAATCGTTTTTATCCTCCTCGCTTCGGTTTCCTCAGTGCTGAGGGTCATGGCCACCTCGTGGAAGCAGTGTACTGCGTATTACTCTCCGCCATCGATATCTATCTGCCGCTGAGTAGAGAGTATCGTGGATTGTAGTGTTGAAAGGGGTGTGAATCTGATCCGTCCAACGTATCGGACTTCTGCCTCTAGGTCTCTTTCCTTCCACTTTACCAGTGATCAGTAACTTTTCCAAGTTATTATTGTTCCTTCTAGCAGTGTGCCCAAAAAAATTCAGAATTCTGTGGAGGCATATGGAAGAGAGCCTTGTCTGGATCTTAAGCTCCTGGGAAATCGATACATTGGTGCGATGTGCTGTCCAAGGAATCCCTAACATTTTTCGCCTGCACCACATCTCGAAGGCACCAATGCGATCACGGTCGGCCTTTTTTAAAGGTGCACCACTGTGCTCACCACCTCCAGGTGGGTCCCAAGTAACGGCAGGAGGAGTTACCATCGGCGTCGAGTCGGCGATGAAGTACCTGGGTCTCGTCCTCGACAGCCGATGGAACTTCACGGAGCATTTTCGTCGTTTGGCCCCTAAGTTGGAACGGTCTGGGGCCGCGCTCAAGCGGCTCCTTCCCAACCTCGGGGGGCCAAACGCCTCCTGCCGGAGGTTGTATATGGGGATTGTGCGATCCATGGCCCTCTACGGTGCCCCTGTGTGGGCGCCGGACTTGAAGCGGCGGCCGGCTCGTACGCTGGTCGCGTCCCAGAGGGTCATGGCTATACGAGTAATCCGCGGGTATCGCACGATCTCCGGGGAGGCGGCGAACCTCCTTGCCGGATCACCGCCGTGGGATCTAGAAGCGAAGGCGCTCGCGCGCGTCTACAGTTTGCGCGCAGACGCGCGTCGCCGGGGCGAAGATCCTCTGCCGCGCCAAATAAGTGCGTGGCGGAATGAGCTCCGGCGAGATCTCACGGCAGAGTGGAGACAACGACTGTCGCAACCGAGGGCCGGGCACGCTACCATAGCAGCGGTAAGACCCCTCTTTGAGGAGTGGCTTGAGAGACGCCACGGCGCCCTCACCTTCCGTCTGACGCAGGTGCTTACCGGACACGGCAGCTTCGGTAGGTTCCTGTTTCGGATTCAGCGGGAGGAAACGCCCGAGTGTCGTCATTGTGAGGACCACCTAGAGGATACGGTGGAGCATACGGTAGCGGTATGCCCTGCCTGGGCTGAGCACCGCCGTATCCTCAGGGAAGTGATCGGCGGCGGCGACCTCTCGCGCCCGGCCTTAGTCGAGGCCATGGTGCGGAGTGAGAGGAACTGGGACGCCGTCTCCTCCTTTTGTGAAGCAGTCATGCTCGCAAAGAGAGAGGCGGCCCGCGTGAGGGAGCAATCCTCCTCCTCACGCCCCAGCAGCCGCAACTGGCGACACTACGGGCGTCGGGGATCGAGGGACGATCTCCGGCCACCGTAAGTACGGGCCTGCGGTCGGCGAGTAAGGGCAGCTCGCCGCCCGACCAGAACCAGGCCCGAGCGTACGGCGCGTAGCGTTCCGCGCGCGCCTCAAAGAGCCAATAGACCACCACAGACGGGGCCCTAAAGGGCTGATGTTCAGCCGGGGTTGCGGGGTAAGCGCAATAAGGTACCGCGACCTCGGCACAGAGCAGGAGAAGGAACAGGGGGGTTTTTAGTCAGTAAGAGTCTGACACTCCCTCCTGCCCGGCCCTGGGCGGGAGAAGTCATTTGATGATTTTCCCCTCACAAAAAAAAAAAAAAAAAACCACTGTGCTCACAAGATTGCTCTTTGTTTTCAACGAAATGCTCTTGTCCTTCCATATTTTCTGAAGCTGTGCCATGGCTCCTTTTGCCATCCCAATTCTTCTTCGTATTTCTGATTGGCAAGAGCCATTATTGCTTATGCCTGAGCCCAGGTATATCAAGCTATCAACTACTTCTAGATCAAGTGTCCCAGTGAGCTCAAGCTTGCCTGTGTGATCTACAACCATGATCTTCGTTTTGGATATCGAGAGTCCCAGCTCTCCGCTGATGCGCTGCATCCTATTCAATACGGTCAACGTTTCTGCTTTCTTACCAGTATTGCGTAATAAAAACTTCTTAGTCAATGTAACGTTTTAATAACAAAGTCATATGTTTGGGAGCTCGTTCCGAATTGGAGCACCGTAATATAAACAACAACTGCCGGTGTACGTGCACGAATACTCTGTTTAAAAATCCGGTGAAGAAAAGTTATCGTGACCTTCACATAAATATCTCGTTTAACTTGTAATATAACCATGCTGTGATATATCATCATGCAAATTCATTGATATCTAACTTCTTAAAAAGAGGATAAATCAATGAACTCATTTCGATATTACGCTACTAGAAATTGGTACGTTAAACACGTCATAAGGTGCGAAATCCTGCTCAAATATGCTGATTGCACATTTGTCATCTTTCTCATAAATAAGTCAGTTTAGATCTCATATAATACAGGTCTAGAATAATTACGATTTCTCCGAATTATGAGTCTTTTGGGCTCTGTATTTTTTGTCTCCTATCAAGACCGATTTATATTTATTCCAAGTATCCATGTCTCTTTAAAATGTAGTATAGGTAACATTTTAACATCAATAAAGCAGACATCACTTTTAGTTATCCATCAGTTGGACATTTACGGTTCACCGTATACGCGTTCCCCTACCCCGCTTCCTGTGGTACCCTGTCACAGTAAATAAGCAGTAGTTAGCTTGCCCTATCTAAACAGCCGAGACTTTGACTCATGCTTGAATCATTCATTCCATATGACGGTCCCGTCTCTATTTAATTGGTTGGTTTATGTCATAATATTTTGTTGCACTTACATTACTTTGTAATTCCGTCAGCGAGAACCTGCTTGTTTTTCGTTTATATATTTTTCTGTTGTCTTATAATAAAAATAGTAAATGTATGTTTCAGAATGATACTTCTTTCTTTTCTCTTAATTATTTACATTGGCCATAACTTGAGATACGACCTGTCTAAAAGCATACACCAAGACAATGTCTGCGTACAGATAACTGTTTAAGATAATAGAGTGACAATCTTGCATTTAAGAGTATAAATATTTTATATGTATAATAATGTACATATATCATTGTTTCTACCATTCACCTATCACTTGCCGCCGGCAGTGAATAGTTATATGTATAGTTATCTTTTATAATTCCCACTCTGTCTGTTAATCTGAGATTAGTGTTTGTAAACATTACCACGTTGAAGTCACATTCAACATACCTAGATAATATAAGACAGCTGCCGACTAGTGTGTAAAAAGAAGTTCCTAAACAATAGACTCGAGTGAACTACCTATTATACTTTTTTTTACTTCTATTTATGATATAGTGCACTCATATTGACTATAGTGCAATAGTAACTTATGTCACACGGTTCGTGTTATGTAATCAATAGGATGTATATGTAGGTACGTTTATAACAAGACTGGCTGTCTAGAAAGTGGTTGCCAGTTTCGACTTCGCACACGCGGCATTCCAATTATAAATTAATTCGTGAGCAGTGTTTTCGGCCATATTGATTTTATTGCTTATTCTAAATTTCCCGCGCTTTACGAGAAACGTTATTTTTACTACTTATTTTTGTTTTTTAAAAGTGATTTATCGAAAAAGGTTATTTATTCGATCAATATTGTGATGTTTTAAGTTTAAAATGTACATTCTTTCACATCATTTTTGTAGTTTTTGCTATAAATAGTTGCTAGCTATTTATAAAGCGAAATGTCTTGAACCCTCAGCACCCTCCAGGCTAAAAGTGCATGCTTGCATTCAAACGTTTACCACAAGCGAGTAAGGACGGGTTCGACTC